AAGTGCATAATGGTGTTCGCCTTTGCTGCCATTCCCTTATAAATACCAGTAGTATCCAGTGTGTCAGAAAAGTTTAGTCTTAGGTCCTTCTCTGTGGATACCCTAGTGATTGCACGCTTGTTAAGAGTGCAGTTAATTTTCATCGCCTCTGGTGTGCGAAGATACATCACCTTGCACTTCTCCGGATTAAAGCTTAAATCGTTTGCAGATGACCAGGACTCCAGCTGCAACAGGTCATTTTGGAGTATCCTAGGATCCTATTCGTCACCTATCGTCCTCCACATTTTGATGTCGTCGGCGAATAGAAGGAGAGATGAGATTTTAGTAGGGAGGTCGTTTATGAATGGTAAAAATAGAAGTAGTCCAAGGATTGCTCCTTGAGAAACTCCTGTTCTTGCTTTCATCTAGGTTGATCGAATTCTGTTTACTTTGGTGCAGAATTCTCTATCCTCTCGGTATGCTGTAAGCCATGCTAAGAGTGGTTCAGTGATACCCACTTTTGCTAGTTTGGCGAGCATAATGCGGTATGGGACGCTATCAAAAGCTTTGGCCAAGTCCAAGAAGATAACGTGAACTTGTTGTTTGTCGTCCCACCTAGTAGTCCAGTCATCCCAAACGGTCATCAAGTTTGTGACACATGACCGCCCGGTTCTGAAGCCATGCTGGGTGGGGCGGACGGTGTTGTTTCTGTTAAGGTAGTCCCAAACAACATCTGCAACCAGGCTTTCCAGTACCTTGGTCTGTAGTTACATGGGTTCTTTCGATCTCCTTTCTTGAAGATTGGTGAAAGGATGGCGCGTTTCCATTCTTTGGGGAGTTGACTTACTTCCAGCGAGTGCGTGAACAGGTTGCATATGGGTATGCTTACCACTTTGGCACAGTTGCGTAGGACAACCGGTTTTATGTCATCACAGACCGGTGATTTCCCTATTCTCAGTGTTGAAAGTTTCGTAAACACTTGGTTTGACGAAGTCTTCACGTTCATCAGCTTTGTATTGCAGTCCTGGGACTTCGTTGCATTGTTAGATATTGATAGCGGATGTATTACTGGGTTGAGTTGCTTGTCAAGTCGACTGCTCAACAGTTCCGCTATTTCACTGCTGTTCAAGGGTTCTCCGGCCGGCCTTGTGATCAGGTTTAAGCCCTTATTCGTCGGTTTGCGTTGTAACACAAACCGATACAGACTTTTCGGATAGCAGCTTAACTGTTTCGCCAGGTTGCTTTGGTATGTATACCTGCTATTACGAATTTTTATATCACACAAGTTGCGCAACGTCTTGTAGCTATGATAGTCTGATTCTTTGCGTGATGTACGCCATAGGTACCATGCCTTCTTTTTCCTCTGAATTCGCCTTTGGTTTGCGCGAGTTACCCAAGACCGTCTGAGAGGTGGCCGTCTGGTTAATTTTGGAACACTCTTTCGATAGCGTTCCAGATAATATCTTTAATCTGTATCCAGTGTTCGCCTATCGGTAGTGAGCGTAATCCTTGTGGTCATGCAGCCTCCAGGAATTCATTGTTCATGAGATGGAAGTCTGCTTTTTTCGGTAACAGCGGAACGCTTCTGACTCAACTATTGGTGGTGTCTCTTTGGTTATCAGAGAGAATCTCACCAATGCATGGTCGCTTTTACCTAGGGGGGGGGGGGGGGTTGGACACATATCGTCAACCAAAAGGTCATCGTCTGTTAGAACGTAGTCGAGTGGTGATCCTTTTCCATCTGGTCACCATCTGGTGTTTTCCCCAACCTTCTCTATTAGTCCTGCTGCCGTGAACGTATTTCGAAGTTTGTGTTCGAAAGATTTATGCCCACACCTTACTTCACACCCGGGCGGAGTGTCGGTGTGTTGAAGTCTCCAGCGAGGACTACATGGTCATAGGCTGCCAAGGTGGTTGTTGAGATGGCACTGAGCAACTGTGCCTTATGCTCTGTCGTACAAAGAAGGCCTATATACCACTCCTATTAGGTACTTGGTTTAGTTTATGGTGAAATAGCACCATAAGGAGTCTGGTAGTAAGCTGAATACACCGTCAGTCACTTTCTTGACTTTTAGATAAGTGCTAGTTTATGTGGCAACTCCGCCTTCTTTGAGCTGTCTGTCCTTTCGGAACAGGGTCAGGTTAGGCAAACATATTTCCTTATCCATTATGTCTTCTGACAGCTAAGTCTCCGTGGTGAGAATTATGTCTAATTGCAGATTATGGCACATTGCTTTTAGCTCCAGTAGTTTACTCCTAAGACCCCTCACATTGCTGTAGAAGCACGTTAAGGAGCTACGTTCTGGGCTTAGTGAGACATGTGGTCTTGTTTGGAGACTAGTGTGCCGTTGCATCGGATTCTACCTGCCAGTCCCTACTGGACTGGCAGGTCTCCGTTTTTTGGCCCCTCTGGGCATCCTGCTGCTGGTGTGGCAGTATTGTTTATTGTGCCTACAGGTAGCTCATCAGCTAATTCTTTTCTGACTGGTACTGCCTATAGTGTTCTCGAAGGTTGCCTGTTATCTTCTAGTCTGGTAGCTCGTGGTTTACCCTCACAGCATCGTACAGCACCTCCTATATGGTCTTTCACACGGTACCACGCTGTGAGAGCTTCTGTTAGTGATGCTCTGCAGTCAAAGCGCACAGCTGGTGAGGAGATGCTCTGCAAGTGCGCAGGTCTTGGTAACCCACTTACGCTACTGGCAGGCAAATTTCCAAGTCTCATTTTTGCTGCTAACCACCTCCACTGCTCGACATCATGAAGGTTATTATCACACTTTGTGGATCCACCCGCCAGATCGGGTATAACATGCACCACCATGGTTGCAGCCTTGTGCAGATCACTAAGCGGGGACTTCCTCTCTGGTGACCCAGGGTTTGTTTAGTTTCACCCATATGGGGCGGGAGCCTACAATGTCTAATCGGCACGACAGCAGCAGTATGTTCTACGACTGTTTCGCCGTCATAGTTAATACCCTGAGTAGCGGCGGCTTGTCTCGAGGTGCTCTACTTCCTCGAGAGAGCCGGCATAAGTTGGCTGTGATGGTTTCTATTCCCAACTTTCCGCAGTAGTCATCCCACTTCTCCTTGCCAGACTTCCCTTTTTTATAAGAGTGAGTCTGTTGGTGTAGGGACGTTGAACAGAATGATGGAATCTGTTCTCTTGTCCCGTAAGTGTGGAATATCGGGTTTGGTAGCCAGTGCTTTCGGTCTGCCCCTTACCCTATTCAATCCAGTCCATTCGTTTTTAGAGCAACCTATTTCCTCAGGTTGTTCAGTCTCTTTGGATCGTCTGGCTGGCGGTGATACAAGCGAGGACTTTTTTGGTGTCTCACTTGGAGTAGGAGCCAATTTCTTCCTGCCTTCAGTTGTGGTATTTTCGTACACCTGTGGAGCTAGACCGCATTGAGGGAAGATTATTGGAGCTCGTTCTTTGTAACATTTTTGACTGAACCAGGTTTTCCAGTTTGCCGGTGGTGATAGCCGGTGATTTCCGACACTGGGCATATATACAATATCCATTTACATGGGTACTTCCTCATAAAGCTGTAGTACTGCCCCGGTAAACCATTATCACAGTTACAGTGTACCCATCTAAGACAGATGTTGCATGCAAAGGCTTTCTGAGCCTCCAACACCGATTCTTTGCAAACACCACAGTCGTCAGAGGTTTGCTCTGTGTTGACGACTGAGTGGTTTACTTTCTGTAAGGTGATGTCAGACGTAGCGCATTTCCCCCATGCTTTGTTTCCCACCAACGGTATGACTGAAGATGTGCTACTGTCACCCCGACTACAGGGGTTTGCCGGTTTCAACACATGCTGTGCCTGACGTGACAGTGCTATGGGGATCTTAGACGGTGATTGTGTTGCTGCGCCCGTCTTTTCGGCACAGACTGGATTCCGTTCACCTGCAGACTTCGTTATACGATTAAGGGCTTGCGATCCGGTATTTTGTACCACTATAGTTAAGTGATTTGTTATATAAATAATGTAAATTAAGAAGAGAATGAAGCGTAAAGTAGATAGCTTACCAACAGTAACTTGGTACTCAGTCTCGCTCACTTTATCAGCAACTTTGACCGAATACTCCAAGTGTGTATGTAAAGGCCAAGAAAAATATTTCCTGGTGAATGGTCCCCGAAGAGAGCCAAAAGCTATAGCAGTTGAACGGTCCAGACGACTACGAATCACAAGCAAGAAGTATTTCCGAGTTGAGAAGATAGCTGCGTCGTTGTAAGTAGCAATTCTTGCGTCCAGTTGATTAACTGAATTGCGTTCACTGTTATGATATGGTTGCCAACTGTTTTTCGGCGATAAATACCGTGGTATTGCCTCTAGATTGGATATGAACAAGGCACGACGTTATCTTATCGTGTGGTCAGAGACTGGAACTCTCAACCTCAGTAAGTAGTACCAGCACCCTAGGTCAACGAGTTCAAGGAGAAACCAGATCTTCAGAGAAATGTTAGTATTATTTTCTACTTTCTCCATAATTTCCTTAAAGTAAGCATAACCTAACTGGGTTCAGTCCGAACTTGCAGGTTCACAAAGCAGTTTATGGATTCATAAAAACTTAATATTGTTGAACTAAGCATGAGGCTATGCAGATTACATAAGGACGGTAAAAACAAATGTGAGATAAAAGGCAGGAAAGACCGACCGTCACTGAAACAAAACCCGTCATTTGTCAACTGAGGAATTACTAGAATTTTTAAAAACCTTCACGAGGGATTGATAATATTCGTGAAGACAGATCAGCAAAACAGCAGTCTGAAAATTATGGAATGATAACTTACTACTATGACGCTGATTTCACAAAGAAGACGAAACCATATTTTTGTCTAGTGCGGTGTTAATTCAAAAAGCCCCCTGCCACGTAACCAATTTTTGCTATCACGAATAACTAGCCATAAAGTCTCAATTTTAATGAAATATAAACTATATTATGGAAAGCTTTCCTGAAAAGAAAATTATTTGTTATCTGCTGCATTCTGTTTTGGCGGTGTTTTCGTACTGGGCATGATGTCTAGGATTTTCGACCCATATGGAGTTCTTGGGTTATATGCCTCAGATGTTCCATTTGTTGTAAAGTATATCCCAAATTCTGGAGCGTATTATGCTGTGGTTCCTACTGGAGAAAGGTTTAATTTATATAAAGTATGTTTGATATTCTGACGACTCATTTCATCAACTTAGCTTCCGAGGTTGACTTTGGTTGGAACGAGTAAGCATTTTCATTTTAATAATGGTGTCCATTAGGTGACCCTGTTGAATCGCCTATCAGATCTTTCACTTCATGTGGCGATACTTTGATCGCTGCTGCTGGGAAAACGATATACTTATTCCGCAATTCCCGTTATTTGCTTAAGAAATTCCAGGTGCATTCAAGCGAAATAACTTTCTTGTGCTCTCTTCAGAATCATTTTCTCCTATCAGTGGATGAAAGTGGTGCTGTAAAAGCATGGGACACTAGGACCTTGGGTAATGATAACTTACGTACCAATTTTTTCAGTGGTTGTTTCCGAAATTGAATTTTCTCCTAAATCGTTTTGTATAACATCCGTGATTCACCTTCTCAACTACAAAAATAAAGTCCTATTTGGCAGTTCCCAGGGTCCTTTACAGTTGTGGAATGTTGTATCTCACAAGTTGCTCTATTGGTTCAAAGGTTTCGATTCATCGGTGACCTGCCTGCAGCAGGCTCCGGCAGTTGATGTTTGTGCCATAGGTCTTGCTGATGGTCGGATTGTTATTCACAACTTGAAGTATGACGTGACGCTCTTGAACTTTGCTCAAGATGGCGGGGCTATCACATCTATTGGTTTCAGGAGTGGTATGTTTGCTTTATTGTTGTGTAAATTCAAGTTTTTGTGATAATATAATATGTCCTTGTAATTACTTCAGTGCCTCTGGTCTTCTCTAGATATAACCACTTACTTGAGCTTATAACTGATGCCAATATAGCGGGAGGAACGTGCTGTATTCTCTGTAGATGGTAAGCGTTGGCTTGTTTTTGATATCAGCTTCCTATACTTGAAGTCTGGGTTGCTTTCTGTTTGGCCCAACAAAATGCAGTTCGCAGCTTCTTATGCTATCCGATTCTTGATTAACTTACAGCAGTTAGGACTTGGGTGAGATCTTTTCACCAAATGCATACAAGTTTATGAGTTTTCTATTGACTGGTTTTTCTACGTATTGTCTATGTAATAGTTTTAACGTAGTCCTCTCTATATAGATGAGTACTGATTGTAACTTGACTCGGCGCGAGTTCGTGTAGTAGGCTATCAGCCACATTTCGTGTGAGGACTTATGCTACTGCCTGGTTGCTCGGACGGAGGTAGGTGAAGCGGGATTTGAACGCTTTTACTTCCTACTCTAGCTAGCATAAGATATTTCAACATATAAGGACTCGGTTTCAAATTTGAGGTACACTAAGCAACCTTGTAAACATTCGTACAGTAGGCAATAAGCCACACTTATGTGAGGTCTAGTGATACTGCTCCGAAAGCTACTGTACACCCTGTCCTGGAGCTGTGGCTCATTGGTCTAGACATTTTATTATCAACAGGTAGGGCATGGGTTCAGACTCAGCTTCTCTTACCAGGCGGGTAGTATCACTTCATATAATAGGTGTATGGTTCACTGTCTAGTGCAGGGATGTGTACAATCTGATGAGACGATTCCGATTTTTCGTTCCGAAGAAAGGTGTATTCATCGAGTTTACATGCATAGATAACTGTCATGATGTGATCCTTAACCAAAGACATAAAGGTGGTATCAAAGAGACATACTGTGCACCTGGGATCGGATTAGTGGAAACCACCAAGCCTGGATCCTCTTTCAAAGTCTTAAATCAGTAGGTAGAATGGGGAGTGATATAATAGTTTGTATTTAAGTGTACCTGTAGCAACATCTACGTTGAAAAGATAGGTCTATACAAGTCAGGGCTTCGAAACATATTCCAAAGTGGCTTCAAAAGCGAATCGAATCATTCAACCCCTTGCATGTTAGTAGCAGCCGTCCAATTTTTGTAATTGCGAAAGATGTCATTGAAGTAGGTCACAGTATTGGTTTTTCCACATCCTTAAAACTTATTTACAAAACTTATTGGGGACGTGCATTGTGGCGAGGGATTTTAAAGTATTTCAAGGCATATAAGATTTTTCAGACCAATTCATTAAGCACTTTCATCTGTAGCATGGTTGTAGAATTCGTGTGTTCTCGGGATGACTAATATTTCAAGAAATGTCTAAAGATGGCATACATAGCTTGTAGTGAAAGTGACTTCACTTAGTTACAAACACCATTATTCTTAGAATAAGGTGTACTGAAGTGGTTTGACATAACTTATCATCAAAATAAACATGAAACCAATAAACTGGTAGAGTGAAAGCATTGACTGTAAAGAGTAGTGGGAAGCGAAGGCTAGAGAGATGGAAAGGCAATGGCGATGGGTAGCTGTTGATAGTTATTTAGATTTACCAAGGAAATGGGCGGAAATGTCTGTGGTTATTGAAACGACAGCGGAGACAGGTTGTCTGTAATTTTCGCATGGAACAGCTGGAACGATAAGCGAAACACTTCGCTCAACAGTTCAATCAGCCTCCAGTTATTTGCTATCCAAATCGATCTCGAACTGGAAATTGAGATAGGTTCTCCAACTCTTGGTGTAAGTAACCGTAGATGTAAAGGGATGGCAGAACCAGACGGGTAGGGACCTGAAGTATCTAGGAACGATGAGTGAGGACTATTGGTTAAGTGTTTTGGTGGAAGCTAGCATATAGGAATCATATATGATACCCTCTCGACCACTGGTTGTTCTCACCTTCACAAAAAGTTAGAAATCCTCTTATGATAACCCCTGAGGAATCATTTTGATAAGCATAGTATCCAAGGCCCTAGGTTCTATGAAAATTAGATGCCTAAGTAAACCTCGGCAGCAGTGAACTCTAAAAAATCAGACTAGCTTCAGACCTGATCTCGACATTTTCTACCAGGTTTTGGAACACATGCTCATTTACTGCCACCCGACACAGTCTACTTCTTGATTTGAAGGTGTTGTTTGACTTTGTCGATCGGTAAGTCTTATGACAGTCTTACTGAAGTGGACACCAAGTAAGTAAGTCACCCCATTGAAGGCTCTGTTTTCGAAGATCCGTGGGCGTGTTAAAGCCTTTGTTTACGTCGATAGGTGTCCATGATGGATGTTCTTATTTAGGTCTCCCTCTCATTGTTTGACGTAACTGCTAGTCACAGGGAATTTCTTAGTATGTCTTGAGTATGCAGATATCATAGTCCTGGTAGATAAATGCACCGACAAGGTGCAGTCTTCTGGATACTTCGGATAGCCGGCCATTCGAGAATTTTGGGGATGAGTTTCTTACCATCTAGGTGCCAGTTGTTGCTCCAGGAGTCGTCTACATTGACATCTCGGCTAACAGTAGAGAGTTAATTGATCGAGTATGTTAACCACTTCACTTACCTGGAAAGTTAGGTCAGCGACGGTAAGTCATTGGCCGACGAAATCTCTGCACGGATAACAACAGCCCACCCAACTTTTGTCCAATTACCTCACGTATGATGCCGGTTTGGTATCTGATAGCGTAGTAAGGGCCTGACTAGTGCACTGCAACTTGCTCTCTCCTACCATATGAATATGAAGCATGACCATTAAAGATAAAGAACATGAGAAGGCTTCAGGTATTTGACCACTATTGCCTTCGTTACACTGATCGTGTGTTGTGCTGCCACCACGTCAGTAACGTGAAAGTCAGGTGTTGGTTTTTAAGGAGAAGAGTAAAGTTAGTTGATAAGATTGTGAACCTTCGTTGATTGCCCTGGCTGGGGTGTGTGTTTCTTACCTAATCACCGTCTACCCAGTCGTTCATTGTTAGCTGAAGCTAGTTTTAGGTTGGGAAAAGGTTAGTGGTATCATCACCGGTCCATAGAAATTCTAACTGTTGATCTGAGCTTTGTAGAGAAATTTAGACTTTTTGGTTGGGTTCTGTACGACAACTGAAATCGGTGATTGGAGACTGAATGATATGGTGAAGTGTAACAACTTGAGCCGATGCACCTGTGTGCGAGGTTGTACGTTGATTTCGTCTGTCAGTCAGTCAAGTGCAGATGTACCTACACATTATTTCTATCTTAATCGTAAGACTGAACTTTATTGTTTCATTCTTTCTCAGTTTCTTTTCACGACTGTCCACCACCCTTGACCGTTCTGCTTCTCACTCATCTCTCATCTTGATACCTGCTATCTTGATATACTGATATGAGTTATGGCAACCGGGACTGTTATGCAGTTATCCCAGGTCCTACGTTACCATTGACGGGCACTGCAGAGTAAATTGAAATGTAAGCAACAAAAGAGCTGGTCGGTAATAAGTTCGTACTAATGAGGAAATAATTATCAGTCACCTAGCGAATTATATTAGTGATACCTTTTTTGCAAACTGATTGACCAAAGTAACAAGTTTTGTGCACGTACTCACTGATAAAAAATAGTCAGTGGTTCGGGTATACACTCTTGCAAAATATTGAAAATGCGATTGTTAAAATTAGAGATAGAATTTCAAGTTTTATTTGAAACAGCCTCAAGGAATTTTTACGCAGTGCTTGACTCTTATGATGGAGTTGTGGCTTATTGGTTTATGGAATCGACTTCCAACCGATGGGCCACGGGTTCGAACCCCGCCCAACCTACCCAGCTGTCGGCTGCCAGTTGCACAAATGTGCACATATTTGCTGAGTGGGTTTCGTTTGTTTGACTTTTGTTCTCCTTTCAAACTTTTATTTATGTTATTCGATGATGAAAAGGTAATGCAACCTTGTACACATTCGTGCAGTAGGCAGTAAGTCATATATACTGTATGGGGGTTGTTTGTGCTACTTGACTACCCAAACCTCGGCAGATAGAGTGGGGTCCGAACGCAAGGCCTACTGAGTAGAAGTTAAGTGCCATAGCTCCTTTCCACCAACTTTGATAACTTTATTTTTGTTTCTGTTTGTGTCTGTTATCCATCAATGTACTCATGTGATGCGACGTTTCCTTGTTCTCTATTGTTTGTAGCATTTTCAATTCACGTCTATGCAAGAGAAAGTAACACTTGATTATGTTTGCATCAAACCTTACTTATTAGATTTAACCCTGGAATTATGAAGTCGGCTTTATTAAGCCAGGTTTATGCTAGTCAACTTTGTGAATAAATAAACAGATAAACGTTTGGTTGAAAATTTTATCCACTTTTTTCCATATCTTGTATTCAGTATCCACCGTTGCTAACCAGTTTTACTGAATTTCAAGGAAGAAAAGCAGTACTGCGAGTTGACCTGAATACTTGTATCTAACTGTTATTATAGTAAAGAAACGGATTTCCAGAGTCTAACGTTTTCAGTAAATGTTTTATTTATTGTTTTTAGCATTACCTTACTGTTTTTTCCTCATAAACATTTGTTTTTTCTTCACATACTAGGCTCACATGGTCTGCAAAATCCTTCCAATATTGACGAAAAGAGTAGTGCCATCCTGTTACCTGATCAAAATAATAATGATGTTTATTTAATAACTGGTTGTGAGACGGGATATATCAACTGCTGGCAGCTTAAAGAGAACGGCAAAAGTCGGGCAGTCGGTCAAGCGCGTAACTTACACTGGGGGAGTGTGACAACAATATATTGTATACCTGGAGGTGATGCTGCCAGTGCTATGGTTACATCTGGGGCAGACAATTGCATTAAGGTAACTATCTTCATTCCAGTTAGTGCAATTCAAGTAATCATTGGTTGCAGCCAGTCAGCGGAAAGCCTTGGATTTAGGTTTCGTGCTTGTTGGCACTCATCAGCATGGCGTATCTGCAACTTCTAGGGAACTAATGTCCCGCCTGAAATCCGGACCTGCGTCACCCAGTGTTGTCGGTGACGCTGCCACCGAGATGTTCGGGCGATGATCGACCCCCTGTTGAACTAGGTTACATACATTGATTAATCACAGGAGAGCAACCAATTTCATGTTGTCTAGTCCTATTTGTTGATCGAATTCTATTGATCATTTTGCCACCAACCTAGGAGGATCGTCATTGAGGTGCACATAAATAAATGCTAGTTGGTTGGAGGCAATCGACAAGAAACCTTGAACCTAGGTATGTAACCCGGTCCTACAGGAGGTCAGTCGCGGTCCGAATAGCTTGGTGGTAACGTCACTGACTACAACGCTGTGTGACGCGGGTTTGAGCTTCAAATGGGACATCAATTCCGTCGAGGTTTCAGTTACGCCTATCTGATAAGTGCTAACAAGCACAGAACCTAGGTTGACGGCTTTCTGCCGATTGCCTCCATCTAACTAACATTTATCAAAGTGCATTGCGATGCTGACCTCCCTAGTCTGGTAGCCACAATGTAAAGTGATCGATAGAATTCGGTCAGCACATAGGACTGGGCAGCATGAAACTGGTTGATCTCCCGTGACCAATCAGTGTGCTTTTGGGAAACGCTTGACATTCGAATGTTGCAATTATGTGTCATGGGTTACACCATTTTCCACGTCTCCGTTTCCAACGTTTTTATCATTCACCAGTTTCTAGGGTTAATTTTAGATTTGTAGGGCTACAGTGTTTAAAATGTCCTATTATAATACAAGGTTTCGTGAAGAAACACTTTTTTAACAAGAAATTCGCGTAGCTTAATATAGAAATGTTTGCTATGACCAGCAGTCTGAACGGTGTCTAGCACCGCCCAACAAATATTCGTGTATAACTTATATGCATAACGTGGCTGACCTTTCCCCTACCGTATAGTGTTATCGCACAGCTTAATGTATGGTACTATGAATCATTAAATAAGTCACTCAAAGCATGAGTAGGTTCGAGATTTCAACCCTCTTGTATAACAAAGACTAACGGGATTCACGTTACCGCTTACCCTTGTGCTATTTAGTTGTGATCACTGTACACAGCTAAAAATACTGACCGCTATTATCGTTCCAGATCAGTCAGTGAGTGTTGTAAGTCTGCAATTTAGTTAGAAATGTGTATTGATGGGCTCTATAAGCTCTATTATTATTGTGCACAACATTCACTAAAGTGACTCATAGGAAAAATATATATTTGCCACCTTAACTGTTTTTATTCAAGTACTTTGGTTTACAGTGTATTGCTTATTGGTCTATCAACGGGACACTTACCACGTGTAATTTCGATTGTTATTTTGTGTAATATATGCTATGTGGTAATCTCTAGTTACCTCAAGCCATGGAGGTGATTTGTTGGGATGTGTGATGCAATACATACAAAGATGAGATAAAGCAACCTTCGCGTTTAAACAAACAACTCAAGTAAGCATATGCGTAATATCTTTGGGTGGTAGAATCGAAAATCGTGTCTGTAGAATTATTTTCTCCTACTTACACGGCTTTATGCGCAGGTAAGTTAAACTAATTAAACTTTTTTGTGTTACTGCTTGACCTTACACAGGTGTCATACTTTGATCGACCTGATGGTGGTCCACGTACGGTATATCGTCGAGTTGGTCACTCTCGACCTCCAAGTCGTGTATTATTTTGGCCTGGAAGTCCAGCAGGTGGCGCACTTCTACTCAGCGCTGGAAAAGATGGTGTTCTTCGGTTTGTCCTATCCCCTTGATTTTCTTTTCCTGTTATAGTGCTAGGGATATCGTAATCCCCTTTTCAGTTATGTATTTCTTCCATAAAACCACAATGTTGCGTACTTGTTTTACATTTATTTTCAGTATATTATTAGGTTTGTCTCAAAAATTGTACTGTTCGTCAAAACAAAATACTTCGGGGTTGTGTTAATCTTTCGATTTGGATTTATTAGAAACTGTTTTGTTTTATGCAAAGGTTTATATGCCGATCTCGAACCCAACACATTCATAAATAATCACTTCCTTGTGTATCGGTCATTGACAACTTACTACATTAATTTTTAGAACCGGCAGTAGAAATAGTATTGGCAACAGCATTTCTTTCTTCTATTATGAAATCCCAATAGTAAAAGATGTAACCAATTTACTTGGTTTTATCATAGCATATTCTCAACATCCAATGAATATATGGATAAAAGCCTTGGATGTGCATATGCTCCTGGAGTCCCAGATCGCCGTAAAGCTACTCGTGAACAACGGTCACCATGGTTATTGCCTGAGGTCGTTCACCTGGCTGCGTGTGCAACACGCGCTGAGGCATGGGATAGCGTAATTGCAGTCCATAATGGTAAACGGCAAGTGACAAGTTGGAATTTTATGAAAGCTACTCGAGGTCAGCATTGGTTCGATCCATCGAAATTCCATGGTTGTGGTGGTGAAGCGAACCGATTGTACAAGAAAACAGTTGCTACTGTAAGTTTTTCTTTTAATCCAACAAAAGTGTTTTTCTTTAATTATACACTTCTCAGAAAGATATCTACAGATGTCCCAGAGTATGATATCTGTAAGGACTTCGAAGGAGATTAATGGGTTAGGTACTCTCTACATATTTCCTTGGAGTATATTAGATCCTAATGGATATTTTCATAAATACTTAAAGACTTTTACTCTCTATTCCATGTTTTGAAAACAAACATCTGAAAAATACACTTTACGTGGCCTATAGTCAGTCGGTTTAAGTTTCCCCCTCTTTGGCGTCAAACAATTATGGGCTCTTGAATTTTGGGAATTGTTCAAAATATCAATTCTATACGTTAAATGAAACAGTGATCAAACTTAATGTGAATTTACTTTGCCTCACCAGTATCCTAACCAACCAAACCAGCAATTCAGGACGACCAATCTTACAAGAATTGACGATCTAATGTTAGGACTTAGAGGGAAGCCGCTTTGCGTTTATCATTGCCTCCTAACCTCTGATCAGATTCCTTAATTCAGTATTGATGTTCAACTTAAACATCTGCTGAATTGTAGGTACTAGGTAATGATTGAAGATAAGATGCCTGGTGCTTTACCAACCAACTGAGGTAGGAGATGCGATGGTCGCTGGTTCGAATACTGCCGTGGCCCAGATTTTCAAATCACTTTCAATCATCACCCAGTACCAATACAAGTCTCCCAAACCAAAGCTATCTCACTCACATAGTCAAACTGATAATGAATTGTGGGTGTCTAAAAACTGTAACCGATTAGAACGTATTTCAGTGTTTCATTTCACTATTTCAGTCTTGTTTTGTGATATTCAGTCAGTCACCTTTTTTTCCAGCAATAATATAGCCAGCCGTAGTACTTTTGTAATGAAAACTTCTAACGTCTGAATAATTAGTATCGGTAACTTATTCATGCATCTTGTGTGGCAAATTCTTAGTGCCTGTCTTGCACTAAGTTTGTGTTCAGATAAGCCAACTGATTGACCTGTATCAATTTACCTTTCAGTACCCCGTACCTACTTTCAGTCATTATGTTTTAACTGCTGTACCCTCATTAATCTAAGTTGCTTTCGTATCCACTTAAGTCTCCGAATTGTTACTGACTGTTTTCCCTGTATATCTGTACCTCTCCCGATTTGAAGCGGGTTCGGCAAGTTTAGGTAACACTCAGTCGCCTGAATTTTGCTTAGTTCATTGATTAGATGAAAATAGATAAACTTACAGTATTGTTTTTCTTGAACCTTTCCTATCTAACAAGAAAACTGAACCGACCATTAATTGTTAACTAATCGAGAAATACTCTTGTCTTAGATTCATTTGTGACTTTTTTTCAAGTTAACGAACTGCGTAATTATCTATGTCCCTGCTTTGTACGCGTATGTGACGACTGGTAACAGTAGGCAACTACAGTGACTAAAGTAGGTGTAACTGGTTCGAATCTCTTAATGGTTGCAAATAGAGAAGTTCATCCATGTAGTAGGAACAGACTAGTAATTCACCAACCAACTTTGAGAGTAAGTTGAAGGTTAAAGAACCTCAACAATAGCTAAATACAATCAACCGTAAGATTACATATATTACATGTATTTCTTTTTGTGCTACAAAATAAACTACTCAAATCAAACCTTAGTGACTTGGTGGTCAAGGATGGTGGTTCCTTGTTCTCTGAGCTTTGCTATTTCGTCATGGACGTCTCATTACCAGGTTTGATAACATCCTCAGCACTAACTTCATAAAAAAAGTCTCATGTTGTCGTTCAACGTTTAGTCCTGAGGTTTTCAAACTACACTCCAACGAAGCGTAGAAGCCTAGTTTGTTTTCATTTCCAAAGCTCAGAGAACACCTAATTAGCACCATCCTCATCCTGAGCTACAAATCCATTCCGTCATTTTGTAATCAGTTTCCTGAAGTACGTCATTTACTTCATATCAGTGAAATATCTCAAAAACTATATGATCCGAGATGCTGTATTTTCATATACCAAGATTCTTATAGGGTCAAGAATTTGGAACCGTGAATATCAAGCAAAGGCATCCCTCTCAGTTCAACTAACTGAAGTCTCCTGTGTGAAATTATGCCATAGTATACTATTCAGTTTAAAATCAATACACTACTAAACCAAAACACTAGTTGAAAGGACAACAGTATCTACTGTCTACAAATACTTATCATCACATTAATATTCAAAGATTACACCACTTTTTTAGCAGTTATGATTAGCATTATGGTTAGCTTCTCTTCATTTTTTTCAGTGCACCTATTTGACCATTTGTGGTAATTATGTTTTAATCGGTTATTCAAATGGAGATGTCTACAAGTTTAATATGCAGTCTGGTCTAGAACGTGGTTCATACGGTTCACCAACTGGTTAGTTTGTTATCTATCATCACTTTGATCTCTGTTTATTTTCTTATCGTGCTAAAAGTGGTCTGCTTAATGTGTAAATGTTTCACTGTTGTGTAGCACTTTTTAAATATTTGTTGTCTGGTAAGTTGATTAATAGATCAAGGACAAATGGTTTTCTTGTTGAGACTCCTTCTGGAATCGAATCTAGGCCTCCTATCATTTTGATATAGATCATGCTATCGCTGAACCAGTTTGATGTGATTTGGATTTGTTAACACTATACAACTGGATGTTGAACACTCAGATGATAACATAATAAACCAACACCTATACACTCTGATCTGGTCGTCAGCCTAGAGAGTAAAAACATGACAAAGTAAAAAGGAACTGAATGCGTTTATTCTCACTACTAACTGCTGATAAACAAGGTGAAAACTTATATGTATATAAGTAGGTTTTGGCGCGTTGATAGGGCGAACCAACCACTGACAGAGCTAATTTGTGGCACCAGTTTTGGAATTTCAGGGAGGTTCGGATTTCCCGAAATGACCTGATCGGAACAGTAGTCGAATTTTTCATACCCTCAGGTTCAATTTTTGGTAAACAGTAAAACACAATTTAGTTATATCTACTAAGTTGATTTTACGATGTAATCATGTTGAGTAATTTGGTGTCAGAAAACTAGACAACTGTGTTGTTAAAAAGCCTCATTACTATTTATGGTATATAGTACGAGTTTCATGGAGTTTGGAACTCAGTATCACTTCACCTACTTGGGAAGTTGCGTCAGTCCAAACGGGCTGGTTGCTGACGAAATCTCAGCTCAAATACAGAAGACCCGTTTAGAATTTTCGAACTTGTGTTATCCCTGGCGCCGTCTGACGAGATATCCGACTATCTACCAAAGAACGTGTATACCGTGCTGCAGTTCATTATGTCCTGTTGTACAGGTGTCAGACATGACTGTTAAAAGTAGAAGAGATGAAACGGTTACAGAGTTTTCGATCACAGTGTCTTTGGGGCATTGCTCGCGTTTGGTGAAATCAGTGTGTGAGCAATGTTAAGGTCAGACGAAGGGTACTAGACAGACCGATTGGCGAGGTTGTGAACGTTTATCGATTGAGATGGCTTGAACATGTACTGCCCATGTTTAGCCACCATCTGTCTCGACGTGCCTTGCAGGGCAAAGCTGCATTAGGTTGAAAGAAGGTTCAGACTGGCCACACTAAGACCTGGCACCAGTCGATGGAACCTCTTACTGTCGGTCTGATTCGTGTGGGGGAATGTACACTGCCTGCTGGGGGTCTGCAGAATGAAAGAAATCAGTGGTTGAGGACGCTTTGTGACATGACTGGAAATCGGTTGCAGTTGCGCAGATGTATTCACTCCTTGACGTTTTGTAAAACTTGAATATTCGCACTAACCTTTATCTTCAAATTATTTATCCCCTCGCACAAATTCGTATACTTTTATATCACTCTTCTTATATCCACCTGTTCTTCCTACACTACTGTGAAGTGTGTAACTTGAACCGATGCACTTATGTGCGAGGTTCTACGTTGATTTTGTCTGTCTTAGTTGAGTTTATTTCATTCCATCGTTTATCTACAATTGTCCGTTTGCTCAACCCTAGTGAAACGCAGAGCTAATTAGTGTTATTAATTATCAACTGTTCACGTTGTCCATTTGCATACTATTTGCTTCCTTCTCTTTTTCTCTTACCTACATTTCAACGTTTATCCACTCCATCGGTGCTCTTTTACTCTTGATCGTTTTTTTAATATTAGCTCATGCTTATTCAGTTGTTGGATTGGCCGTTAATAATGTGAATCGTGTCACAGTAACAGTTGGTGGAAGTGAAGTTCGGTTTTGGTCATTTAATGAGCATAAGCTGATTGGACAACTTGATCTTCCGTCAACATCTTTGTTAGTCAGATTTCATGCAGACAGGTAAGTGGTATAATTTTTGTGTGCCTTTTTGGATGAATCGTTTCATTTTCTTATGTAATAATAAGATATCGGTCTTATCGTGCGTTAATATACTATCTGTATCAATAACACCTAATCACTTGGTGTTCAGTGTACGTAAGTTATACGCAAAGCACTTATAAAAGATTGACACGGAGACCGACTACACACGATCTCGGAGGTGAGCTGCTGGAGAAAGTAGTTGCGTGAGAGTGCTGGTAGAGGTGTGACTAATGAGATTGTTAATCGCCTATTGAAAACCAAAGTCGTAAATACTGGTTTTGGCCAGATTCGACATCCGCCTGATGTTAGTCTGAGTATAAAAGATTGGTTGTCCTGAGTTTCGGTACGGACAGTTGTGCCAAGGTTGACCATCAACTGTGTATTCAAACACTGATGTCCATGGCGGGTTATTTACCTATTCGTTATCTTCATTCATTCAGTAATGGTATTTTAAAACTACTTATATTTAGCACTGGTAAATAAATGAAAAATGACAGCGAGACGGAATAAAAACATATATAATGATATCATATTCAAAATCTAAAAGAATTCATCTTCTCCACTTCAGGAGATTTTCAGCATATTTGAGTCAAACTCATCCGGTTGCTCCCCCTTCACTTCACTTTATATCTTGCACATTTCAAGTTCAAGCTTTATTCAATATATTGGTTTATATTTCTAGTGATGTACTGGCCACTGCTCTATCAAATGCTGCTATCATCCTAATTGATGTATTACACCGACAAATCATTCGTACTTTTGTGAATTCTGAAGTTCAGCTTTGTGTTGATATGGTAAGTTAAATGAATTAGAGTGTTTAAAATAATGATTGTGTGTAGACATTAATTTTCTGACTGTAAGACTTGTTTAGACGGAGATTTGTGATAAGTACTTTAAACGTGATGTTGATACCTGTGAAATTGTAGTGCAGTGATGTTGTACCTAGTTAACCATAAAACTCAACCAGCAATAAAGTGTCAACCTCACTTAACTGCAATTTTCATTAGATAACAAAGAATCGTATAGATTTTCACTCAGATTGCTTTTTGCCTCATTCATTTTTACCTAGTCAGCGACTTCTCCCGCGCAGAATGATTGTTGAAGTAGGTTTAGTTTGGAAAAAGGTTATAGGTGGTGGTAAGACAAAACCTGACATCAGTTCATGAAGTCTGTGATTATTGGTCTCAGCCTTATAAAGAATATCGACTTCCATATATGAGTCTGCATGCTAGTCAGTCAATATTAACATCTAACTTGACATTACTGCATAACGGTCCAAGTTGCTACATATACAAGCGTTTCAAACAATAAGGACCAAAGTGATCAGATTGCTAGAAGGTCGTGAAAAGAGAACAAGGAGTAACATGATGACTAAGATTGACAATTATATGTGGATACATCTATGCCACTGTGGTCGAACGTGAGCCATGTCACCTAGAGTCCCTAACCAAGGGATCATGTTTGGTTCCAGTACACTAACTAACACTTGAATTAACCTGACCAATAATCTTTGCCCACCGTTGTTAAACACCTCAGGCTCCAGCTCTGTTGGCCTTTTTAGTTTTAGATTATTTACAGCTTTCTTCTGCTAGTGTTAGGGCGCTTGCCTGCATGTTCCGTTCAGGATCTTACTGGATAGCGGGCAGTAAACTAGTAGCTGGAAGCTAGTTGAACTGTTCCTCGAAATATTCTGCTTATTGTTCTAGCTGCTCTTCATGTGAGTGGGTCGCAGGCCCATCCATCTCTGCCACTGTCGTCTCACTAACCACTAGCATTCTCACCCATTTCCTTGATAAGTCTAAATAACTATCTGGTGTTACCTATCGCCGTTGCCTTTCCCATCTCTTTAACCTTCACTGACCACCACTGTTCATGGTCAATGCTTCTGGTACTAATTGTACTTGGAGCTCCCAGGAATGCGTTCATGCGTATTCATCTAACCGTCATCCATGTTTGATGACTTTGTATGATATGTCTCGGAGTTGATAACAGTCACGCTGATGCATCCACACCCTATCTTCACTGTATTTGGCATGTTAGGTTAGACCTTTTCCTCCGAGATTTTAAGTGAACGAGGTTAACGGTTACCCATCAGATGACTGCAACTCAATTTGTTTTTAAGTCGCATGTGAGTGTGTCAAGAAATTCACTTCTTGATTCCAACATTTTTCGTTTAGTAGTAGCAATTTCATATATCTTTTCGTTCGTCGCACTGTTCTCGTGATCGCTTTATATTCTAACCTTGAGCTCTTCTGATCGAGAACAGCATTTCTTACACTACTTCTGAGTGGGACGTTTGGCTTCTTCATTTGAACTGAACTAAATGGAATTTTTCTTTTAATTATTAGAACTTTTCATACGATGGTCGATGGCTGGTTTCTGCACATCATGGAGATCCACTAATAAAAACATGGGATATTGTCGATAGTAAGTAAGTAGAAGTCATACACTGGAAACATATTCTTACTGTGCCTCTTTGAGTATATCTGTTTTTTCCACGTACATTTTTGCCTCGCTCCCAGTTTATAAAGCCAATAATGTCATACACAAGAATGAAAGTGTTTAAGCCACCTTAGTAACTTCTCATTCAACCCTACCGAACTAACCTTTGATTCACTATCTTAGGCAAGTTTGTTTAACTGTCAGAGAATTACAGTTCGCTGGACTCAGTATCTATCATTTACCTATCAGGTGAAGACTACGTGACTGGGGTCCTGAAAGTGATGGGAATCGGTGGTTGATGACTCTTGATGATATAGCTAGAAGTCGGTCACAACGGTACGGATGTATACACTCATTGACGTCTTCTAGGGCTTAAAAATGTTCACACTAACCGTTATCTCCAAATTGTCCACTCGCTTACACAACTTTGTACACCTTAATATCACTCTTATTCTACTCACCTGTTGTTTGTAGTCTACTGTGAAGTGTAGCAGCTTGAACCTATGCATGGCCTCTACTTTGATTTTTTTGTGTATCTGAATTTATCTGTATGTTTTTGTTCTTAGTTAAACCATGTGCTTCCCTGTTAGCTAACTTTATGTAACTGAGGAAACGTATTTTCTAACTCTTCGCCTACATAGCATCTAAATCTGATGGGAAACCCGCAAAATAAAATGCTACCATGTTATTCTGCTCAAATCGCATTGTTCTTTCCCTGTTCCAATTCATAACGTGGAATATGTGTATGAAATCACCTAATTTTGTTTGACTCAATACTACTGAAAGCTCATCAATAATTGGTTATCATTGATTTTATTATTTTATGTCTAAATTCGGTATCTGTTTAAATTATTTTATAAGAGCGGTTGTTATACTCTAGGATGATAAAATAATCATGTTTTTCCATTTAATATTTCTTCTATTATTTTCATATTTCTGTGACATTTCTCGGATGACAGATTGATAGACTGTTTTCGTGTAGAACTTCCAATCACTTCCATTGCTTTGTCGAGAATGAATGAGTTTTTGGCTACAACTCATGCAAATTGCCTTGGTATCTATTTGTGGGATAATCGTGCTACCTATAAATGCCTACACCTTCAACCTTTACCTATTGACTATGTGCCAGGTGAAAATCGATCACCAGTTTCATTACCAACCAGGTGAGAATAGCTTTTTTAGCAAAATATTTCACTCATCTGACTGAATATTGAATAACAATAATAATAATTCGTTCAAATGCCTTCCTTCCAGTTTCAGTACACGGAATAGTTCCATGGTAACGTTGAGAAAACAGGGGTAAAAGCGAATACGTATTTTCGGTTAAAGTCTCATAAGTCTCTATCTTTAAATACAATATTTTGCACTTACAACTAAACTCACTTTGAGTGGTTACATGAATATTTGATAGTTATCTGAACATTTAACCAATTATGGGATTAAACTTGTATGACAGTTAATTTCACAAGATCTGAGATAATTAATGTATAAAAGGATTAGCAGGTATATGGGGATTATCAGTTAGAAATCACTGGATATTTGGTCGAATAAAAATTATTGGAAAGTACATCAAAGATTGACAGGATTAAGTTGAGTTGCTATCTACCTGAATTACGTAAACTCCATCTTTGCAGATGACCACGGAAGAATCAGGAAGTGTGGCAAGAAGCAAATATTCATCAACCTTCCATTTATAAAGGGGTATAATCCAGCCGAAATTATTAAAAGCCGACTTGAACGTTCATTAAAGAACACGTTTGCTGCAGTCATTCTTAGATTCACATTTAACACTAGATATATCTTACCATCATGTCTGAAAAATATAGGATCTCTCGTGTCAATGTGTATCTATAGATTAAACTGCTACTATGGAGTCAGCTGTTGAATGTGAACTAAGGAGACCCTTTCACAACAAGTCAATATGGCCAGCAAAATGAGAGATAAAAAGGTTGTCAGTTCTACCCAGCCCCACCTAACTTGTACTGTCCGCAATATCAACAACATTGTCTGCTTTCTCACAACATACCAGATCGAATGCTCCAAGCAGTAAGAAATCACCTTCTTCAAACTTCTGTAGCCTATTGCAATGAAAATCAGTAAACCTGAGATCTGTATGCAAAAACAACTCAAATATTCTCTTATTCTTCCGTGCCCATCTTGAAAGATGGAATTTACGTAATTCACGTAAGCAACAACTCAAACAACTTGTCCCTGTCATTTTGATTTCACTGCTTTTTTTTGTTTGTTTCACTTTGATATACCTTCTTATCATTTCTGTGTTTCCAATTTTTATTCGATCCATATCCCATAATTACTGACTACCTGTTGTGATTTTTAATTTTAATCCAGTTGTTATTGATAATCTCTACCCTTGGTAATTCTCTTATACATTAATTATCCTCCTAGTATTTGTTGAATCTGGAGAGAATGTAATCGAAATAAGGCCATTATTTGTGTGTATTTATACGATCTAAAATACTAACAAATGAGTGATAATATAGAACTTCTAAAAGGGATTCGATTGCACTTGGTTTAACCAGTTTCAGGTTAGAGCATCATATAAAGAAACAGCATAGATAGTTGAGCTACTTGATCCCTATGCTGACTAGTTAGTTCTTAAGAGGGGTGGGGGTTCTGCCTCAAATGTCGTGTAGTATGTAGCTGTTGGTTCATTCTCACCTCTCCAGGTCTTTTCAAATCAATCTAAATCAAGATGGATTAGATAATATATTCAATGATTGTCCAGTGTAATTTTGTGGATTCCACTTAAGACATGCTTTGTTCAAGTAAGTAGTCTTTTGTGGTGTCATAAAAAAAGTGAACTCTAATGTTCGTTACCAGAGGTTACACCTTTGTGGATTGTTTAGGTTGCAAACGTAGAGATATCATCTGTGAACCTCTTACAAATGTTAATAGATGCTTATTCCTATAGAGTAACCAATTTGATGAAAACATGCTAGAAGTTAATGTTTCCTCTGGTGACTAGATTGCCGGAGATAACACCATCTAATCGTGGTAGGACGCTAAGAAAAAATCGTAATACTCTAAAGCTTTCACAGTCCACCCTGCACTATGTTTCCCCCTTTTCACTGGGATAGCTATCCAAATAACATGAAACCCCACAAACTGACTAATTTGAAGCAAATATCATATGGATTTCTCGATATCACAACAGTAATTCAATTTCTCTTCCGTTGTTGGGGATACTGAGAAGTGATATTTATCATTCATGTATAAATCTCTTTGAAAAGGGATTTTAAAATCACAAGCTCAATGGTTTAGGAAGAGAACTATCGACCAATGGGGTGCTGGTTCGAATCCTATTCCACCTACCGAGGTTTGGAAAGCCAGGTAGTATCATTGGCCCTCACAAAGGAGGTGTGGTTCATTGCCTACTGCTTGGATGTGCACAAGGTGACTGGATGGCATTCACTCTAATTAGTCGTGAGTAGTTTTTGTTAATGCCTAGTTTGCCAACATGTTAGGTAGCGTATAAATTTAGTAGTAGAAATCGAAAACCCAATATTCCAGTTCCGCATAAAATCTTGAAACCAAACATGCGATTTGTTTGAGATACTGTACAGCAGAGTTATAGCAAAGACTGATCAAAGTACAGATCTCTAATCGTGTGAAAGTGCACCTTTGTCGCACATGTAAAGGGTTCAAATGAAACAAACGTCCGAGAACTATTATCTACATTATATGGAACAAACGGAGGAGCAGGCAATACGGTTGTTGAAGACGACGATAGATCCATCGAAATAATGTTGGCTTAGATAAAGAAGCCATCGTAACGACTTCCAAAAGCATTCAGCAACTTTGTGAATACACTCGTGCAGTAGGCAATGAGTCACATCTATTGTATGACCGCTAAGAATATTTACTACCTGGCTACTCAAACTTTATTAGTTAGAGCGGGATTCGAACGTGTGACCCACTAGTGATTAAGAGTCAAATCTTTAACCCCCTAAGCCACAGCTCCATACATCAACTGTTTATTGCCCCATAAAACAAACCTATCAGTAAGACAAATATGAACAAAAACAATAAGACAGAAAGCAGAAAGAAAGACAATAGTGGTACAAGGATGGGTGTAAATGGAATAACGTGTGCTCGATTTTATCGTCAGCGATCGGTTCCCTCTGTATTCTCACATCTCCGCATACCGACTGTTGCTTTTGAAATGATCACAACTTTTTTGTTTTTTATCCTCACTCTGCAGTGATGGTTATTGAACAAATATCCTGATGATAACTCAGGGTACACTTGATAAAGATAACGTATACAAGCGCGAATATTTCTTGTGAACTCTAGTTTAACGTGACTTTGATAAAGTTATTGGTACACTAAATATTAATATCCAATATTAATATACTGTGTAGATTTTCCTTCCTCTTCATGCGCTTTAGAGTAATGATGACACGGAATACCAGTGATGAGATTGAGCTAGGAATGCTCACAGAAGAAAATGAATTCATGCAACAAGAGGATACAGATGGTCCATCGACTGAAGAGTCCACGGAACACGTGTAAGCCTCCTATTGGTTTGAGCATTATCATGTTACTTATTATAACTTGTTCGCTAAATTCTCTTCTAAATGATGAGTATATCAGTGAAATGAAGCTAGGTAGTCATCGGGTACACGTTCCTACCATTATATGAAGACTAACAGTGGTGCTTAGTTATCTGTGTTAGCGTAAACTCGGCGATATTGAACCCCAACTGTATGATAAACGTGGTTTTCTGCACATTGCCACAATCAACAAAATGCTAGTTAAATTTTTCAAATGACCTATTAACTCCTCTGTAGCGAGTTCAGCACCTGTCTTTTTTGACACCCCACCCAGTAATACCAGATAATTTCTTGCCATCATCCTTTCACCTTTCTTATTTCCCGTGGCTGATCTGATCTGCATCAACCGTCTGACGTTGTTTTGTCTCAGTCCACTGTATGCACAAATACACCTGAGTTATTTTGTTCTGTGATACCGTCAGCTGAAATGTGATGGTTGGTGCATGTGTATACATTTGTTCTCTTATTCTAGATTTACAGTATGCACAATTGTTTCACTACTAGCGTTTCAGCCTCAAAAGCATGTTTTTTGGTTCTAGCACTTATCAAGTGTGGGTTGCTCTGTTTACCAATTTCCTCACAGTAGAAAACACTTTCTCCCACAGTAATTTGTAATATTGCATTGTAACTCGATGGCTATATATAGGTTATTCTATACTAGATTGATAGGACGCGGCCCAAATGAAAACCAACATTTTAAGTCATCAGCTGTTAAGAAAGAAGGTATTATGTCTCAATTTTTTTATTTCATGTTACTGTGTGGTTAGGAGAAACCCCATTGGGCGACTTCATCCTACAGCTGACCAATCAAAATAAATTATTTAACTTCTGACCTAGTAGCTTCCCATGTTCATGAAAACTATATTAATTATGTATTTTTGTCAAATGAAGTTTCTTCCTTACAGCCACAGTCCAGTCTTTGACTCTTTTATTTTCGGTTTTGAGGCAGAGCAGTCGCTTTTCGTTTGCAGTCCAAGTATCTCATCGCGTTACTACCGTTCGCGTACTTATCATTATCCACTCGATCACTTCATAGGCAGTCGGGCATACCTATTGTGCGAAGGTCGTTTAAACTACGACAAGTGGGGAGGAAGTGCAAGGTTTGAATTTGCAACCCATTTTCTTGAAATCTTGGTGCCACAGCCTGATTTATTAAGTTTTAATATGCAGAAAGCAGACACACATATGCAGTTATCGATATGCCGAATCATTTAAATTAGAGACCATGCTACTCAGCTGTCTAAAAAACTTGGTTAACTTTAGAGACGTTGGTGGTTTATATATCTGTCTTTGTAATCCATTTTACCAAGAGACCATTAGCAAGTAAAATATCGCAGCAGAAGCCTTTTTCTTTCTAGGGTATTTAAAGTTTGAGATTCAAATGTTAAGATCAGCCACAACATCGACATGGTGATGGTTATTCCCTGTTGAAATGATTCAGTTATGAAGCAAAGCTCTATATTAGCATGCTGGACAAAATTTTCGATGCAGACATCAATTTATTTTTTCCATCGGAAAAGGGTTTAGAAGGCCGAGGTGATTGTAATTTCCCGTTGCTATATAGGGCCGAATTACTCGACCTCTGTTGCCAGACGAGTCCCAAGTAGGATAAAACGCCCGTTCTGGATGTTTCTGCTTGTCACCAAGATCAAACATCGTGCTTTTTGTACTGTTCCTATACTTAACATCATAAAAGTATTGCTTATAATATTTCCTTTTGAGTAGAAATTATTTCTCTGTTTGCTTTTTTAGCTACATATCTCCTGAGCAACTTCATGGGCATCTTTTGACACTCTCGGGAGTCCCATCCTCCTATTTTACCACACTTTTAAATTTGAATTTTATCCGAGAACGTAATCGTCAGGCTGCAAGATATTATTTGAATACCGGTTCCACAATAGACGGTACATCAAGTGTTGCAAACTCTAAGAACCTACCCTTCTTCCTACCAGTAGTTGAGACAAATAAAGGTTTGGTTTGGGCTGAAGATGATGACGCTGAGTCACTGACCAAACAACTGATCGGTAAAAAATCTAATAAACCACGTGGACTGTTGGATAAAGATTTTGCTTATGCAATGGAACCGATACGTGACCTATCTGCGAAACTAATTCGGGCGAAATCAAACAAAGAATGTAAGCTTAATTTTCACTTCTATAGTCCCACGGTTTATTTTTATACAATGTAGTTTTGTGCTTTTCTGAGCTTTTTGAAAAAACTGATGTGAGGTTTTTTCGGTGGTTTGAAATTGGTTCTGTAGGATATTTGTTTCATGACATGATAAACCAACTTGTGGTATTTACTGCTTTTGATTTGAGGTGTTCAACGAAATGGATGTTGGAAGTGTTATGAAATGATATCCTAAATTATGATCGTTTTTTCAGGTTTTCACTCCTCTAAGCGAATAGGTCATTGATGTCCAACCATGATGGTAAATTACATGGGTTTCAGTCCTTGAGATAGCATTAACTTTCTCGGGGTCACTGGTGTAGTAAGTTCGTTGCATCTGCGTCGGTAAACTTGTAGATGATGAAATCGAGAAACGGTTTCTGGCGCTTACCGATTCATATGTGTAGTATAGAAAATGTAAATTAGTCATCAATGTTTTTCGTAGTCAGACAGGAAAAAAATCAGCGTAGAGCTTCTCAAAAGAGTGCATCGGTTCCAATTGACACACTTCACAGTAGCGTGCAAAAAACAAGTCGACAATAAAAGACTAATATCAAGGTTGACAAAGATGTATGAGAGGAGAAAGAATTTGAAAATGAAGGTTAGTGAATACATTTGCCTTATTGTGACTGATTTTAGGTATCACCACGAGTCATCAATCACTGATTCCTGTCATCTTGGGAACCCCAACCAGCCAGTCTAGACCTCCCTACACGACTGAAAATAAAGGTCAGAAACTTTATGGTTTGGTTTGGCCACCCTGAGTCTTCTTCTAAGCTATCCAATTCCATGCTTAGTGGGAACAACACCACTCACTGAGATGCAAGTACATCCAACTGACGAATTCAAAACAGGACGAAACGCGCGTCCTGGATTCCACTACTAGCGACTATTCATTATTACCAATCGAACTTCTAGCGTTACACGTCGAGGTAGGCAGTAACTCGAGACGCCCAACACATATCCAAGCTACTGTCTAGCCTCAACGTGCAATATCACTTGCAGTAGTGATAAATTGTAAGAAGTCTCATGTTGATCAAACCAAATCAAATATGCCGATTGACAGAACTGCTGATCTGAGTTTCGTAGACAAGTGTCAATTTCTTTTGGAGTACACCAGATAATTAAAATCAATCGGTAAAAGTGTTGATGACTATATCTCAAAGCTCATTGTAGTACATTCATATCTCATATTGCATGATAAAGATTTGTAAGAAAGAAGACTCTCTAGCATATCTAAGATAGGTAAGCCTCGTCATTGTGTCAAAGTATATCTGATCATTGGGGGTTATGGCGATTGTTTGAATAGAAAAGTGGATTGCCATTGGTGGTATAAGATGAATAAATATACCTGCAAACAAGTCAACTGTTTCTATCAACAAAAAGTCTTCAATGTTTAGTTCGCCTTGTTTAAATTGTTTTTTTCCTGGTTGGATGTTTGGCACCAGCAGGATACATGAGGAATCAATCCTCTATGTTCCTTAAGTGTATTGGTAATGACTCATTCTTTAAGAAAGTGGAAGTATGTAATCGGTGTTTACTTTATTTTTCATCTCCACTGAAGAATAATTTTTATGCGTCTACATTCTTGTTTTCCTGTTTCCTCTCTTCCGTCTACTGGTAAAAAAAACTTCATCATTCTAGTCGATCAAATCACTCATATCCTTAAATCAGTTGGTCCGAATGCATTGGATTTAGAAATATGTATGCTTATCCCCTCAGCTGAAGATGAAGCGGTTTGTTCAGACAATCCACAAACAACAACAAAACTCTATGGTCATTTAGCCAGTTCATATGAAAAACTGCATGGATTTCTACGATTCCTAATTAACCGGTAAAAGAATTAACTTGTTGTTTATTTAACTGAATAACTCTAACTGTAGACAAAGTTTTTTCATTCCATCCTCGACTCGTGTCTACGTTGTGTAATGGTATCGTATTAAGTGTTGTTGTTGGTGGTGGTCTCATTCAATGCCCGTATCTGAATCTCTTCCCTTTCCTTCTTATCTCGAAACTTTATCGACTAGATTATTAAACTGTAAGAACCATCTCTTGTACTATGGGACATTAGTTACTAATAAATTTTTGAATCATTAGTTTGGTATCACTAGGCTTCACACTATAGGTGTGTAGCTAATTACTTACTACATGAACATTTACAAGGTTACTGAGCACATTCCTTTCGTTATTAGACTTTAGCTCGTCATATTCATAAATAACTTGTTAGAGGAGATCGCATTTCAGCATTACATTTATTAACAGAAGTTTGTCGGCTACCTGCTAACCTCCATATTAACCATGACTGTTTCATCTCAATCATATGCTTGCCCTATTCTTTTTCTTGACAACTTGTAGACAGTTAGTGAGGCTATATTTTAGTCTTTTGATTTCATTCCGTTTGAACCAAACTTGTGAGGTAAAGTAAACCACCTTTATCATAAGTACATTGGAATTTACTCATGCACTGAAGGTGAAGTTATGACAAGTTTCCTTTAGATGTTCAGATATCATCCATGATATCTTTTATTTGAAGTTGATCCTGCTGCTGTTTCTGGTAAAATTCGTGGTAATTATGAAGAGATTTAAAGTGTACATCTGGTCATCTTATCTGCAAATTAATTCGAGAATACTCTGGACATTACTTTATTTGATCTTCAGTATTACCAGTTACATATGGAATCTAGATCCATATATTTGGTCGAATTGTGGAAACTTCAGGCAGATAAAATCAACTGGCATCGGTTCAGGTTGCCATACTTCACAGTAGCATCCAGAAAACAAGTATTCAGAAAAAGACTGATATCGAAGTAGGCTGAAGTCTATGAAAAAAATTGGAAAACGAAGGTTAGTGAAAGATGCCAAACAATGATTGCATTTACATCATTGTGACCGATCTTCAACTGTATCGCCAGTGGTCTGCAACAGCTGGCTACTGTTGTCTCGAGGACCCCAGCTGGACAGTCAACATCTCCCAACATGGCTCCCACCAAGAGTCTGAGACTTCATTGGTGCCACGTCCTCATCTGGCCACCCTAAACCCTCTTTCAACCTAGTCCAAGTTCTCCTAGTACTTCACATCGAGGTAGGCAGTACTTTGGCATACACAACACATGTCCAAGTCACATCAGTCGGTGAAGGGAAACAACTCCATCAACTGACTTGCCTGTCTTACCTAGTACCCTTCTAACCTCGACGTTGCTTGCATGGTAATGTTACAATGCGCGAGCAATACTGCGAAGACACATATAGTCCAAAACCTGTAGTGTCAAGCGATAAACTTATGCATAGTCAAAAAACCAAGATGGAATACGTTTAAAGCATAACTGGATGTGTATATCGTAGAGATTTATCATTTAGTCAAATTTAGAATAACCAAATCGAAACCGTGGCAAGATAGGAAACCATACCGAAAACATGTCACTGCATGTTGCCTCCTTGGTTTGCATCTTTTTTCTAATTCTGTTATAACTTCTTTTTTTAAGTTTCGGGGCAAAATGTTGTCGAATAACCAACACTAAGTGTACTCACTTCCCGATTCAATGTAAATGTAGCATCAGATTCACCAATAAACTTTCACTGTTGTCCATTCACTCGGCTGATTCTGATAGAGGCGATTAATAGAAATTGTTAAAAATACCCCACACATATTGTGGCAGCTGTTGTAACCGTAGCTATTTAATAAATACTCCGTTCATCAATAAGTTGGAAAAGAGCTATGTCATTTAACTAAGCAACTGATTATTGGGCTTATGGTCCCCAAATTAAACATCTCAAATGGGTTCATGAACTTTTTGGTAGTTTTTTAGTTCATTGCGTTTGATTAGAACTATTTTTACTGTATTATGAATTTCAGGTGCTGATAAAGACGATACGATTGAGTAAAAATGTCCATATTTGTCCAGTATTCATCAATTTGCACCTACTGTGTAAGAAGTGATTACACTACCTTGATTGCTGAGAATTTGTCAAATGAATCCTGGTTTCCTTGTAGTGTAGGAAGTCAAAAGCCACAGCTCTATTCTTTTAGGCAGGTTAGCGACAGGTAAGTTTGATCTAATCTTTAGTGTGTTGTAGCACCTTAGGAAGAACTGAACTGACACATGAGCAAATAATGCAGATCATCCATATACTCTGAATGTTTTGGAACAACGGGGTTGGATCGAAATCAAATTGCAGTGCACTTAGGGATCACGTGTGTGCAATAGGCAGTGAGCCACACTTATTGTTTAGGAGCTAAACCTGTACGTATACCTCGGTAGATAGAACGAGATTCGAACCTGTAACCTACTGGTTGGAGGTTAAGTGTTTAAACCAACAAATCACTTTGGACTAGGTATCTGTGTGTTCAATCATAATTAAAACTATGGTGTGATGACAAGCTATCGGAAAGTAGAGTTTGTGCTTCAAGTTTCTGGAGACTTGGGCAGAATTCCACTAAGGACAAACTGTGGTCACACTCTGAACACTAAAACGGTTCACCTATTTCGCTATGACCACTGTGGACCATAATGTAATTTAACAGAATCCTGTTTGCATTTATGCTGCGACAGTCGTTCATTTTTTGCTCAAATGTGCTATCTCTGCATGGATAAGATTTGGGGCACCCTACTTAGAAGAATGCTGAGTCATGCATGAGATGAACCAATATATTATTGATGCAAATGGAAAATTGTATTTCAGAAACGAAGGAACGAAGTCACTAACAAAATATAAGTCGTCTATATTTCCATCTCTGACCAATCTATCAATATAAGAGTAAAATTTGGGCACTGTGACAGATTGTAATTCCATTTCACTCTGTTTATTAGAAATGTCAGTATCATTTACTGTTTTTACATTTACTTTTTTTAACATTTACAACAACATGTAAATGTTGCGTTTATCCAATTCGACTACATTGCTATCATTTTGAAGGTTCCTGAGAGCTTCCAGAAAATGATACTGTTTCATTGTGTAACACTAATAATCTGATCAATCTAATGTATTTTTTGTCATCATTTTCTTCCTCACTGTTCAGGGGAATGCTAATTTGTTGTTTACCTCTACTGATAGCTTTCATTTTCACTTCATATAATTTTAGATTCCAGTCCAATCGAGATGTTGACTTTGCATGCGTTTGCTTGGAAATCCTTCTTCACCGACATAATGATATTCTCTTTCGACATAGTCGTAATCAACACAATGCACACAATACAAAATTGTATCATGATGAGACAGTTGGACAATGCCTGCTAGCCAATGACAACCGTATAGAAGAAGACGAAGACCTGGGATCGTCATCGCCATCATCCTACTCGACTACATTAAATTTGATTAAACAGGCTATAAAGTCTAAAGAAAAATCTCAAGTGGAATTGACAAATCGTGTAACTCAATCATTATGCTTAGTTGATTTCATACGTAATCCTGTGACCGCCTTACAGCTCTGAAGTAACACACTGGCAAACACATGTTTACGACTATTTTGTATACACCCTTATCATGCATGTAAATAATTTGTTCGTCAGAGATGCTTGATCTTTTAACTTGATGCGAACAATTGCTTGTGAAATATTGAAGTGCCTGGATATCTGTTGGTTCTGAAAGAGGGAGTTGGCTTGCATTTACCCATCAAGAATGATAGGACCTATCATCTGATATTTAATTATTTGTTAGATCATAGATAGAGGTGCATGGAAGACGTTTTGTACTGGAGCTGTCAGTATTATCTATAAAAGACTATAAATGGCTTTTTTTAATCTGTAAGATGAAGCTGCTACCGCACAGAACCGACAACGCTTCCATTGAAATTCGACTTTACTGATAACACACTTCTGAGAGGTGTGTAATTCACTTGATGTCGCAGCTTGTGGTGAGTTGTGTACGTCGAATGGTATCATTCAGTGATATCTACTAATTTCATCTTCATCATAGATGTTCTTATGGGGGTCTTCCTCTCGTCATCTGACTATACTGGGATTAATGTTGTCACAGGAGAAACTCTTTAGCAGATCTATAATATTCAGATGGCATAGTCCTGCTAGGTGAAGACTGCTAATCGAATTTCGTTATTGTTCTGCCTACTTTTTTCTTACGACATGGAGGTGTGGCAACTAGGACTATTACGCAATATTGCCAGGTCTCATGTCGTCATGGACTGACTGATTGGTTCATTATAGGTTCTAACTCCGCTCCTCCTACCAAAATATCAGCAGCCAGTCAGTCTCAGTGTGTATACCCCAGCATAGTTCACGCGGTAGCGGGTGACTCGCGTCATCTCTTCGATTAGCGAACTGACAGCTGCCTTAGTTTATATTCATTGATCAGTCCGCGTGCATAACTAGAGATCAGTGGTAGTTGAATCAATCTAGTGCTAGAAATTCTGATTTCAGCATTCAAAACCACCAGGTTTAGATTTTCAGTGGGTATGGATTTCACTAATGTGTTGTCTTGCGTAGCGTAATGGTTTATGCGAAAACTGCTACAACTAATTCAAGTTACTCCGAAGAAGTTTACACTGAATGGATGTAGTTTATTGAGTAAATAAACTGGGTAAGCAAGATATTAATGCATAGTATATTTATGTGAATAAGTATACAGTTTCACATTAGGTGACCTTTTGAATTATACGGCATGAAAATCACATATGCAAGAAATCACTTAAGAAAAGGTGAGGAGGGAGAAATAACAGACTAGGTATTATGTCATTAGATGAACAATGAAATCACTTGGTTTATGGACGGAAAGATACAATAAAGTGTGAAATGATGAATTCATCTAGAAAAATGGAATTTGATAGTATATATGCGAAAGAATTTTCATGTATACATCAGTTTGATTCATATCTTCTTATCTAATATAAATGTCAGAAGGGAGGAAAATAAAGCAGAAATAATTTAAGTTAATCGTTGATTTTATTTAAATGTTACAAGGACTTGAAGTGCTCAGTGTTATTTTTTTTTCCCACCTATTCTTGTTTACTCTATAGGATGTCATGTTTTTATGCCTTCCGTTTTATACTACTTAGTATTACTGGGTAGCATAATTCATATTTTCCTTTAATGTTGAGTCATCGACAGCGTAACTTTAATTACATCTTGTTCATCATTTAACATCCCTAGATATGAGTACGGTTCTCGGTTCATGATGATGTTGGAACTCCTCTTATTGTTTCTCGATGCCCTATTTCACCTTCAAGATTTGTTTATCTTGAGTCTACCTCATCGTGGGAAGATAGGCTCATCTTTTCTATTCCCTTTGAGGAACTGTATTTCAGACAGATCCTGTTTTCTTGGATTTTACGCATAACTCGAGCGTTAAGTTTATTGTTGGAGAGTCACTTTGTTCCCTAATTTGTTGGAAAGAAATTCACACCTATTTGTCATCACGGATTGGAATTAACTTGAGAGGCATTTAAAACTTAGTGATAACTTGTCTGTCTTACCGTCGCAGTTTGCGACTCTTCAACAATGATTATCCACATGACAAAGGATGTTATGCATGGTGCTTTTGTGTGTGTTTGTTCATTCAGCACAATTTAAAGGATACATGTATATTACTTCCTAGCAGAACGCGTTGACGGCTTATGGCGTAACCGATCCGCGTAGTCCCAGATGAACAAGTGTGGAATTCATTCTAATCCTGAATACCACCGAAACTTAACCATGTACAGGTTTGCGTACCAAGCGATAAACCGCATATATCGTTGTGTGGATTAATGATGCTACCTAACTTTTATAGTTATGATGGATAGTACCTAGCAGTGGAATCCAGGACGCGCGCTACGTCCCATTTGGGACTCGTCACTTGGATCCACCTGCTCCTAGCGAGCGATGTCGTTCCCACTGAAACTCGAACCCAGAACCAACCACTTCTAGTGCCAGGTTTTTATCCATTAGGCCACCGAGTCATGCTAATGGAGACCGATCAGTGCAGTCCAATAACTGATGGGATAATACAAGCAACAACATACTACTTGTCTGTGATACAGTAGTCAGTCGTTGAGTAACTGAAACTATTGCTTCACAGCCCACTGTGATATCATCAGGAGGATCGTAATTTTCGTTCAGTTTGTATATTGCAATTAGTTGTTAACCACGTCTTTCGTCTTGGCATTTCGGTTAACATTGAGTTTCAATAAAACAAGTGAATATCACGTTCATTCCACCAAATAAAATTTAAGCAATTATAATGGACAGAAAAGAACTGAGCATTAAAGCAACTTATGAGAATCTCAGATGGTAGGATACATAATATTGACAGTTGGAGGGATTTCTAACTTGACTGTAACACGTTTAGCCGTTGAGAGAGTCCTATACACTTTTGTCAATATCTCTAGTTATTTCTTGTAACGCTGCGAATGTCTATGCATTAATAAACCATCTAAATATAAGAGGAAAAATGTACTTACAACCAAGTGATTGATCAGCTTTCTGTCTACATACTTCGCACTTCACTTTGACGAACTAGTCCATCTGTAAAAAATAGTAAATACGCTTTGAACACCATAATGATAGGACGAAGATAATCTGATACACATGTGTTGTGTTTTAATGCTATACTCTTTGAACTCTCTGATCACACATAAACTTGTCGAATAATTTATATAAAAACTGGGATAGTTGGATGGAGACAATCACTAGGAAGCACTGCTTAACCTAGTTTTCATGCCTTTTGGTACTTGTCAGCAAGGCGTATCTGCAACCTCGTCGGAACTGATCTCCCGCCTGAGATTCCAACCCCCATCATCCAATATTGTAGTCAGAGACGTAATCACTAGGCGATCCGAACAGATCAATAGTGGATTGTCTTAGTATCATCTTAGAATCTATCTAATGGATACTCGAAAAGTTGGATGAAAGTCTCCCAGTTATGCAGAAGATTAAACAACTGACATTTTTAGGAGATTACACTGATTGTTGATAAATTACACACAATTTTGTACTCAATGCAGTTCATGCAAATAATCATTGAGATCAGCATGACAATAGAAATCAGTGGTTGGAAACTTTAGACATTATGACTCAGTGCAACTCTGATTCATGTGTGTCTCGGTGGCTTCAAGCCCTTCTCCACCTACCGAGGTTTAGGCAGTCAGATAGTGTTATCAACCCTCACACACTAGGTATGGCTTATTGTACTTACATCTCCATGCCGTTTACTGAGTACATTTTGATTTTCCTTTCAGAAATCGATCTCAGTGATCCAAGTGCATCCATCTTTATTCTAATCGTCATACCACACTTCGCTCTGTTTTTACCCCTACTTCTTTCTATGACCGCTCGGTCTTTCATCTTGTATTTTGATGTGAGTTGTGACAACGTGAACTGTTGCGTATTATCTCTAAGGCACCTTGTTCACATTAACTGACTCTCTACATTCAAGACGAGTTGTCCTTCAAATTCTGTTACTTCTTTCCTTGTCTTTTGTTACTTTCCGACATTTCTGGTTTCTTCATCTAGAACACTTACCGATTCTGATTACCTTTCCTTTGCGACATGATGACAGATACTATTTATTTCTGCTTTTATAAGTAGCACATAGCAAAATACTTGTAGTCAAGTGTGCTTTTTTTAGTGTATGCCCGATCCACCTCCACTTACTTCCGCATATTTTTTGGGCGATGGGTTCTTGGTTGGTTGGTTCCCAGAGTTCCTCGTTGCTTATTCTTTCTAATCTTCAGTATCGAGCGTAAGCAGCTGTTGATGAATGTCTGCAGTTTGTTGGAAATGCTTTTCATAACGCACACTCCGAGGTCTTAAAGTAGTTGCCAAATTACTTCTCGGTAGACGCTATCAAACTCCTTTTGCTTGGGGTGGACAGGAACATGATTCCGCGCCAGTTCTTGCAAAGACTTGGGTCGCCCTAATTTGGGAGTTTGACAAGGTAGCCCTTCTTGCAATCTCCAGGTACGATATAGCTCGACTATCCACCAAGGTTTTCAGTAGGCATCAGCTTCACTTCCAAGTGGATAACCCCACAGGTCATGGCTTCTCATTAGAACTTCAGGAAATCCATCTCAACGCATGTCACCAATCACCTCTATACAGTAATGTACTTCTGAGGCTGAGGAGGATATCTTTCTAACGTTGCATTCACCATGGACTGACATAGGTTGAGCAGCCATTGAAACAGATACCGACAAATTACCTCGAAGAGCTACTATCAAGATGTAATTTGGATTTGCACTTAAGTTCAATAGCTTTTATCGCCAAAAAGATAGAGTTGAAATATGGTTCCCATTAGTCCCACTTTTAACATACACCTTTTTATGTTCCAAGTAGCAACAACCCAGGGTTCAAACAGTTGAAGTTCTACAGAAGATATGTTGACAACACTTTCATAATCTGTGACAGGAATTTAAATTTACAGAGTACACTATGTGCTCCCAGTCAGTGTCGTTCCTGCATCATCGTTACGATGCAAATTAATTCGCATTAGAAAAATATCATTTCTGGATGTATTACTAACAAAAAGAAAGGATGGATCTCTTTAAAGACTCATTTATTGAAAAAAATATATAGACTGAACAAGTGACCATTTTTCACAGTTGGATTTGGGTTAGCTGAAAAACAAATTTAATCCATTCGAATCTGGAAAGTTTACACGTCTAACATATTGAAGGAAGAACTAGAATTTCTGCAGTCTATGTTCATTAAAAATGGATGCCTAGAAAAGATTTGTTCATAAAAATATTCATCTAAACAGTGGCCCTGACACACACCAAGGTTTTATTCTCCACTGATTTAAGGAGATATCTTTCAACCAATGGATCACAGGTTGGAATACCACCAGCTACTGAGGTTTGGGCAGCCAGGTAGTATCATTAACCTTCACACAGTAGGTGTGACACAGTGCCTACTGCACGAATATGCGTATATTGGTTGATTGGATTTCCATTTCGACACACAAGGGTGTATGAGAAGAAAATACCTTTTACTGTGAAATTAAATAGTGACACACTATATGACATTCTCAACCTCGCCTGGTTAACTAGTTCACTAGTTACTAACCGGTCCTAAGCCCGGATAAAGAGGTAAGGTTGGGTATAGGGCTGGCGACCCTACCCCGTAAAACCAATACAATCGCTAAAGAAACTTCAAAGCACAAAGAAAATATAAAACACAAAAACAAACTTATTTCTCACTGGGATCGGACGGACGAAATGACGCCGGTTGGTGAAAGCCTTCGGGAAGCCAGTCGGTCGATGTGTCCTCTCTCGATGAAACCGAAAATAAGGATGGGGATATGGAATATCCGTACCATGTATGAATCTACCAAGGCTGCCCAGATTGCGAAAGAGATGAGGAGGTATGGCATGGAAGTGCTTGGAATCTGAGAAAGCAGATGGAACGGAAGAGGACTCTCCAAACTGTCAACCGGAGAGTCAATAATCTACTCCGGTCACCCAGACGACAAACACGAGCACACTGAGTTTTGGGGTGGCTATCATGATGTCCCCAACAGCATCGAAGGATCTAATGCAGTGGGAACCAATCTCCTGCAGGATCGTGACAGCAAGATTCAACTCAAAAGGAAGGAAGGTCACAATCATACAATGCTACGCTATCCACCTACAAATAATGCAGATCAAGAGAAGAAGGAGAAATTCTACAGACGACTGCAGTCAACACTGGACAAGACCTCAGTTGGTGACATCAAGATCCGTTAGAACAATGGGTGGGGTGACATGAATGCCAAACTGGGAGCGGACAACATAGGAAGAGAACTCATCATGAGTCGAGAAGCACTCGGTGAAATGATCGAGAATGGAGAACTGTTTGCAGGTTTCTGCGCATTCAACGATTTGGTGATTGGAGGCAGTGTGTACAAACACAAGGATATTCACAAGGCGACATGGATTCAGTTTCACCAGATGGACACACTAAAAGTCAGATCGACTTCATTTCAATCTGGAGAAAATGGAGACGCAGTCTACTGGACACAAGATCAAGAAGAGGAGCAGATGTAGGTTCCAACCACTCACTTTCTAGAGCAAGAAAACTTCAAAATCAAGTTGAAACCTTCCAAAGAAGTTGGTGGTGGACCACAGTTGACGTTCAACAGTCAGAACAGAAAGTGAAGTGAAGGACGAGACTACAAAGGACATCTGCACGTCAGCCACCAGGAAAAAATGGGAGACATTAAGCAACATCCCTGAAGAAAACTGCGTGGAAGAACACTGGAACTCTTTGAAACAGGTGTGGAAAGAAACCTGCATCACCCTGTTAGGAAGGAAGAAGAAGAAACAAGACAAGGAATGGATCTCGACGGACACGTAGAAGCTGATAGAGTAGGGAGAGGAAGATGGTGAAGCAGAAGATGAACCAGTGCAAGGATGCACAACGAAAAGAGGAACTGAACACAACCTATAAAACACTGGACAAAGAAGTGAAGAAGAGTGCGCAGAAAGACAAAAGGCACTTTTACGGCACACTTGCAAGTGAAGCAGAACAGGCTACGGGTAGGAGAGACCTGAGAACATTATATCAAATAACCAGGTTACTATCCGAGAATAGATCAACGCAGACGAAACCAATGAAAGATAGTGAGGAAAACTTAATTACCAAAGAGGAGGAATAAAGGAAACAGGGCTGACCACTTCCAAAAAGCTCTTGAGTCGACCACCACCTGCAACCCGTCCAGAAATACCACCAGCAGCCACAGAATTACCAGTGAACACAAGTCCTTTAACAAAAGCAAAAGTCCTGAACGCCACAAAGTTGCTGAAAGCCGGGAGAGCAGCGGAACCAGATGGAATTCCACCAGAAGCACTGAAAACAGGTGCAGAGAACAGCGGACATACTCACACCACTACTACAAAAGGTTTGGAAGGAAGGAACGAACGAAACGCACCTGCCCATTGATTGGAAGAATGGCTACCTTGTCAAACTCCCAAGGAAGGGAGACCTAAGTATGTGCAGGAACTGGTGTGGAATCATGCTACTGTCCACTCCAAGCAAAATATTAAGCCGCATCACCCTGGAGAGACTAAAGGATGCACTGGATTCAAAATACGACCGGAACAGGCTGGCTTCAGGAAGTACAAATCATGTGCGGACCAAATTGCAACGCCACTCTACGCATCATCATAGAACAGAGTATAGAATGGCAGTCAACCCTCTACCTCAACTTCATCGACTTTGAGAAGGCCTTTGACAGCGTCGACTGACAAGTAATTTGGCAGTTGCTTCAACACTACGGAATACCACAAATCTTTATCAACCTCATTCAGCAGCTATATGACGACACCACATGCCAAGTGATCCACAATGGGAAGCTCAGTGATGCTTTTGAAGTGAAGATAGGAGTAAGACAAGCTTGCTGCCTACTTTCACCCATAATCTTCGTGGTTGTGGTCGACTGGATCATGCAACAAACAGTGAGGAACGAGAAGAGGGGGATATGTAGTTTAACCGATGAAAAGACTCTGAAATATTTGGATTTCGCCGATGATGGTTTATGTCTAGTGTCGCACAAACTCGAAGATCGACAGGCGAAAACTAACAAGTTGACAGAAGAGGCAGGGCAGCGAAGCTGGGGCTTCAAGTGAATGTAGAGAAGACAGAGGTGATGAAGATAGCCAACCAACAACAACAAGCTCCAATCACCATGAACGGGAGAAACCTAAAGGACGTAGTCTCTTTCATCTATCTAGGCAGCCCTGTTTCAATCGACTACAGGCGGCAGCGGCACTGACGAGGATGTCAAGTCCAGGATCGGAAAGACAGCAAGATAGGCTTTCACTAATCTGAAATCAGTGTGGAGGTCTACTGCACTCAGCATGTGCAACAAGATCCGGATTTTCAACACTAATTCAGTCAAGTCAGTGTTTCTATGGGATGGTTCAGAGACTTGGCACGTTACAAAAATCACTTCCAACAAACTACAGACATTCATCAACAGCTGCCTACGCTCGATACTGAAGATCAGATGAGAAGGCCAGAAAGAAAAAGCAACAGGGAACTCTGGCCTGGCAACGAACCAGCTAAGAACCTATCGCCCAACAAATATGCAGAAGAAAGTGGAGATGGATTGGGCATACACTGAAAAGGCCGACTGGAGGCGTCACGTTCCAGGCCAGTCCGTCGAGTGGAATCCAAGAGGGAAACGACGAGTTGGGCGTCCCAGCTGAGGTTGACATGGAGGAGATCATGTGAGGAAGAAATGAAAGCTTGTGGGTAGTCGTGGAGCCAGGTTGAAAAGACTGCAGAGAACAGATTGAGATGGAGGCGTGCTACTGAAACCTTATGTTCTTCTAGGAACCCAATTGAAATTAATAGCAATAATAATAATGAGTATGATGTTCTCAGACTGAGCTAGCACTGTGTGCGGAAACCCTTCGAACCAACCATACTAGCCATGCATTGGACAAAAGCTAATTGAAGGACAAATTACTACTTTTAACTGCTTTTTTTATATATTAGACAATTTACTTCTATGGAGCTAAGTATTGACCACATACAGAGGTAGATTGTGCAGCATCAAGGAGATCACCTTCCGATGAATCATAATTTCTCTCCTATAACACAGTCCAAAGTGAACCCACAGTTTCCGAATATTCATGTCCTGTAGTTTATAAAACTGAGAAGAAGCTTTCAAAATGGTATAAGTAAACTTCTGTTGTGCATTACTGAGGCTATAGCAAAAGCAAATTGCAAGCCTTAATTGTTTGTAGCCTTTGTTATTCACTTACGAACATTTTAAATCGTTATACCTAACTAAATCTTGTATTTTGTACTTTGAATCGAGAACTATTGATACATTTTTTTATCCTTCAGATTCGTTCACACTAATTAATTATTTAAACATACAGTTGTATGGCTGAGAATAAATCTGCTCACTGAAATCTTTGTTCATTGATAATTGAACGGACATATATTCAAATAAATAACTTACAATGACCAATTGTATTTCTCACCAGCAGTCTAGGCTCCATAAAAACACACATCACTTCCAACTTTTCACCTTCACGAATATCCAACAGACCAGCTTCACGTAAATCCATTGAATCTTTTAACATTTCTGAAGTTACTGGATTTGACAGCCAACTGTTTGGATTACGGCATGTGAATTCAAATAAATTATCAACACTGTCATGACTGTGAGATTGGTTAGGATCATTATTATCATAACTTATAGTAAAGTTATTTTGAGTGATTTTATTGTCAGATTCCTGTGAACAACTCCTATCCAATACCAAATAAGGTAAAGGACGAACTGGCCATCTACTACATGTTTTCGACGCTTTCACTACACTTTTCACCGTCTCATCAGGATTAATCTGTCAGAAATTTAAAAGAAAGGTGAAGTTTCTAAAGATTAACTTGTAGGGGATCATGACGTCAGTGTATCGTAAAGAGAACACCCACCAAGATATGAAAGAAGACGAAGAACCAATTAATTCAGCAAACAGATTATTTTTGGTTATTTCATTCTCTAGCCTGTACAATCATGAATTTACGCACTTACTATAATTGTCTACGCGTAGTGTTCCTTAGCAGTGATAACTAGCAAAATACATCAGCACCTGAAATTTCATTATAATCATGAAGTAATGTAATTTTGACCATTCAAATTTGATATTTATTCCTAATTGGTATTCACCACGGATTGATGTCAGTTGTGGAACCATTGAATATCTAGAGCACTTGGAGAGCTTGTTCGTTCCAACACAACACTCACCAGTGCACACTCATGACCCCACGATGGACAGGACATTCAGGTTTCGTGGTGAACCACCGGGACGGAAAGCAACGACCCACATTCTCTTCTGTCAATTTCCAATATAGTATGACTTTCATCCAATACCATCGCTGAACATTTTTCCTCATATCTAACCTGGTTTACCCCACCAGTCACGAATTCTCATTTGAACTTCCGGAAATCTCATCTCGTAGTATGTCAGTTGGTAGGTTTGTGGAGACTCAAAGTCCAACATTTATGCATCTAAACTCTGTATACATTTACGTACCAGGTTGTGAGTTACACTCATTGCATGAGATTTTTTGATACTAACCGGTTGTCCGTGTTTGGTCAGAGTTATGTCAACAAGTGTAGAATCTTTTAATTACTTCAGCTAAATTCCAAACATCACTTATCTACGAAGCTGAGCAGTTTCATACTAGAAAGAAACAGCTCTCCAGTGCTCCCAGGTTTTCCATTGGTTCTCACAGATATCCATCATGATTTGTGAATTAGAGTTTGAGAAATAATTTTCGGCGTCTTGGTTACAAGTTGGACATTGATCAAAAAAATATAACTGTCGAGGTATAAAACTTGGAAACCAAGTTTTCTTTTTTCGCAGGTCGAATGTGTCAACAGATATTCAACGGTAACGTTTCGTAATGTTCAGCGTTATATCACAATTAGACAGCGATTTGTAGACACAGTTCGCAGTCCCCTGATTGTTGGTTATTACCACTATTCATATACCATACTGCGGATAACTCCGTTATGACCAGTTATGAAAAAGCCATTTAAATCAAAGACTTCCGACCAGCCAACCAGGATGAAGTAGACTGCTGTAAAAGATCCGAAAAAAACTATATCAAGCAATCAGATCACAAAAAGTGAATTACATCAACCAACCACTCAGGGAAAAGACAAAATCTCCCTACTAAATAGTCAGAGAATATAAAAGTGAAGGTTTGCATTTATTAGTGAAAATTCATGTATTTGTTTATTGATTGATACTGGGTGGTGACTGAAGGTGAAATGAAACTTTAGATAGTAACAGGACTGTAACCAGTGGCCTATGGACTCCCGCCCAGATTTTCATTTCACCTTCAACCATTACGCAGTATCAATAATATGTTTCTGCCAAACCATATCTGTCTCAGATAGTCAGAACTATATTTTTTTGTCTGCTAGCTAATTACATCATCCTTAGCTGTCTGTTTGCTGTTTGAATGGTCATATGATTTTTGGTTCACTTTAGATATGCCTTTTTGTATAATTAGCTGACACTAACCGATTCCTATTCGCAATCTCCCCCCACCGACTGCAGTTTGAATGGTGCAAAGAATGAATCCTACGAGAAGCTGCCAGTTTTTCTACAGAAAGCAAAGCGTTCGGATATAGTCATAATGGCAAGTGATTTTAACTCTCAAGTAGGGAGGCTGAGCCAATCGGAAAGCCAGCTTTGAAATTGATTTTATCTATGTGTCTGTTTCACTTCTTTCATGTTACTGTTCTTCCATTCTGTTTCTTAGGTCTGCACACTATCGGCAATACATCCGCAGTCAATGTGGCTCCAATTTACCCTTTTGGTTTCATTCATCTTGACTGTGGAATATTCACCCATCGATTATATAAGTGAGTTTGAAGATCATCTTTGTAACTGTTGTAATGACCAGTCAAGTTTCGGTATTCAGGTTAAAAAGGCAGCTTTCCATAAAATAGAGATACGCAATTGGCTGTCTCAGCAGTTGTTAGAGCGGCCATTAGAGCTCACCTAGTCAGTCATGGGATAAAGTTAACCAGGACGAGGGCGGTATTCAAAGACCACCTTGACAACAACTGAAACGCCTAGTCACAATTTTTTTATTTTATGTAAATTGGCCTTTCCAGCCGAAACGAGGAAAGCTAACTGCTTATTTCAGTCGTTGCTAGGCTGGCCTCTAAAGTCAATCGCCAAGTCAACTACCCAGTTTGGAGGGTGGCTTAATATGGAAATCAGAACGGTAATTTCCACCCCTACACTTAAGTCACAACTACAGCACATACAGACTTCTTTTAGATGTTCAAAATATGGTGTACATCCTCATGAGAATGGTCAAAGTGTTATAAAGACGTTTGTCATTGTCAACCCTAGTTGAAGTCAGAAGTCTCATTTATCCAATAACAGTATAAATTTAGCAAGTAATATTTACTGAACAGCGTCATATAGTATGAAGTCCTACAACAATGAAAGAGATTTGAAGTTGTGTTCGTCTAAATTTACAGTTGCTTTAGTAATGAGTACTATTTTGCACGAAACGATTATGCGGAATCAACAAACGACTACTTCTGCTTATCCAGTAGTAGATACAAAATACTAATGATACTGACCTACTGAATGTTTTGATAATGCGAAAACGTTGAATAAAAATTAAAACTGGGTTATAGAATTTTTCGACCACCTACTGACAGTAACACACTGATGTAGTTTGATCGAACTTACCGAAGTATCGATAACATGTATGGGCAACTTTGTTACCCATGATTGACTGTTCTGTCAATTGTTTAATTGTACATCAAAGAATACTTTACTGCAGCATGTTGAGTGAGAGAAATACAAATGTCTAAATGTCATCCTATCAAAGACTGTTGTTTTCTGAAGATCTGCCTTCCCAACAGGAATGAAGAAACATGACTGGCTATTTCAGCTGTTATAATGGAGGTTTTAAGAGACACTCAATTTAATCCACTGCCAGTATCCGGCATGTTATCCTAACTAATATGGCACTCAAGGTTAAAAATATTACAATAAATAAAGAGACCTATCGAAATTATGCTCAAAATTACTCATCTCACACTTTGTTTGAAAGGAATAATTAGCTAAATAAAGCTTAAGCGGTGGCAACAAGCTGGATACAAGTTCTCAATTTTACCATCATGGTTATTTCATTTCACTTTTTATCATCTAAAAAACTAGTGACATCAGCTGATCAATGTGAATGGTTTCTTGCTCAGTAGTATAGTCTGAGAAACTAGTTACACTATCGTACAGCAGCATGTTGCGTTTTTCTTACCTAACTGATAGGTGATTACGGGAGCCGTTGTATTCTTTTCTTGTGAAGCCATGGCTCATTGGTCTAGGTACTTGGTTCCCAGCTGATGGGCCACGGGTTCCAGCTGAGCCCCATTCACCGAAGTTTGGACAGCCAGGTAACCTTCATGCAATTGGTGTGGTTCATTGCTTATACTAAGAACGTTCGAATAGGTTGCTAAGTGGATTTCTACTCAAGTTATACACTTTGAGATATTTTACATTTGTTTTCAAAAAAAAAGAAGATACAACTTACATGTAGTGCACAGCTATACTTTCCAATTTTAGGTAAATTTTTCTTTTCAAATAATTCAATAATATGACATTTAATCTGCTTGAATTTTTTACCAGATTGTGATTTTATTGAAAGATTACTTGTTGAATTGAACAATGAACAGGAGTCTTTAAAACTATTCTAAAAATTTTGTTTTAAACCAAAAATAACTAATTTTCACTTATGAAAATTATATGCTTAAGTTAGATATTATTAAAAGTAAGTTTCAATGAATTCTAGACGATGATTGGAGATATTGTCTCCTAAAGAGAACTGAAATCCTTTGATATTTCGTTAATGATTGGCTTATTCTGTGAATAGCAGTGTTGTCACTTTCATATTGATCCATACTTCACAAATTTGACTACCAGTCAACAGGATCTATTCTGTTTGCTAAAAGACTGAAGGTTAATACCATAAGACGGGTTTTTGAAGCCTGGGAGTACACTATTTCATGTTAATTTGTCTGCAGAATTTATCCCTGATTGATGCAATATAATATGGTCGGTCGTGATATACGACTCATAGTCACATACATACAAAATGAGTCACTGCATTACTTTGAATTCTTGTTTTATTTAGCTCGAATGTCCTTCCCCTTCCTTTGTGATGTGTACGCTTTTGAATAGTGACCCTATGAAGAAAGCTTCTTTGTCTTTTTAACACCTATCAATTTTAATATTACAACTACTACTGATTAATAATTCTTCTCAAGGTGGTAAACGTCAATGACTCCGACATCACTTGGAGAACCATCGAAAATCTGGGAGCGCTGGACAGTGGTTTCGTCCTAGAGTGAGACTCCTCATCTGTTTTCACCGATCATCGAGCTCAGAACCTTCAAGGTGAGCACGCTATCATTCAGCCACTGATTGGACTAGAGTCCAGTGGTTGTGTGAGCATACTGCTGAGGATTAACTGATTAATACAAAACACCTCTCCAGTGTACTCAGGTTTAAAATGGTTCTCTTTTTGATATCAGTCCATGATGAATACTCTCTTGAAATCAACCATTTCCCCACAAACCACTAAATTAGGTTACGAATTATGACAAACACGAATCTTATATACATTAATGGTTGTATCGAAATATAGTAATTCAAGGAGTTGGATATCCATGTTATAGTGAAATATAGACTGATATAACCTGTATTGCTAGCTTGGACTGATAACCATATATATATATATATATATATATATATATATATATATATATATATATATATATATATATATATATATATATATATATATATATATATATATATACTAATGATAGCTCTGTGAAGAAGGAATACAAGCTCTCTACGTTGCTTTCATGCAAGGAGTGGATCTCAGGAAACCCAGCCAATACTTAACGCCAGTAGAAAATGGTCCCTTCACTTACGTGTCTAAGTAGAAATAAACTGTATCGTTTTAAAGGTTCCTGTTCCAACTTTCAGACGCAGTAGTTTGATGGATCAAATCAATGAAATAACTGTGATGTCAGACACTTAGATTGAAGTCAGGCTAAAACAGATGAGGTATCTAGAATGACAGACTGTAGTAAGACAAAAAAATTCCAGATTAAGACACAGCCATACGATGGAGCAGGGTAACAGTTTTATAGGCTCAGCTGAGTGAAGAGAGATATTGTTTTGACAGTCTTGTGTTCGGTCCCTTGTAAGGCTGTAGGTGCACATGGTGGATTCGCCATCTTAGTAATGTCGAGGTTAGTCAAAGGGTACCAGGCAAGTTGGCCAATGAGTTTGTTAACCTTCACCGACTAAGGTGGCTTGGATATGTACTATACATGCCGAGCTATCGCCTACCTTGAAGTGCAATGACAGGTTAGAAGAGGGCTCAGAGCGATCAAACCAAAACATGGAATCAGTACGTGAAGTCTTTAGCTGTTGGTCTTAGCGCTGTTGGGCGTTATACACTATCTGACTGGGGTTCCCAAGACTATAAGAATCAGCAGTGGATAACTCTTGGTGAAATGGCCAGAAATCAATCACGATGTCGCACATGAATTGACTTTGTGATATCCTCTGGAGCTTGGATATCTGCACTAACGGTTATCTTCAAATTGTTTATTCTCCAACGACTTTGTCTACTTTGATACCAGTTTTTTCCTACTCACTTTTTCTTTGTATACTAGCGTAAAGTGTGGAAACTTAAGCAGATGCCCTTGTGCGCGAGGTTCTACGTTAATTCAGTCTTTCTCTTGAGAAGTAAAAAAAATTCAACTTGTTATTTATGATGGTTTCATTGTGAGGTCGGGGGTTAGGAACGGTCAGATTAATGTTTCACACTTGTTCTAAAAGCTGTCGCTATCAAGATACCGACAAATTACCTCGAAGAGCTACTATCAAGATGTAATTTGGATTTGCACTTAAGTTCAATAGCTTTTATCGCCAAAAAGATAGAGTTGAAATATGGTTCCCATTAGTCCCACTTTTAACATACACCTTTTTATGTTCCAAGTAGCAACAACCCAGGGATCAAACAGTTGAAGTTCTACAGAAGATATGTTGACAACACTTTCATAATCTGTGACAGGAATTTAAATTTACAGAGTACACTATGTGCTCCCAGTCAGTGTCGTTCCTGCATCATCGTTACGATGCAAATTAATTCGCATTAGAAAAATATCATTTCTGGATGTATTACTAACAAAAAGAAAGGATGGATCTCTTTAAAGACTCATTTATTGAAAAAAATATATAGACTGAACAAGTGACCATTTTTCACAGTTGGATTTGGGTTAGCTGAAAAACAAATTTAATCCATTCGAATCTGGAAAGTTTACACGTCTAACATATTGAAGGAAGAACTAGAATTTCTGCAGTCTATGTTCATTAAAAATGGATGCCTAGAAAAGATTTGTTCATAAAAATATTCATCTAAACAGTGGCCCTGACACACACCAAGGTTTTATTCTCCACTGATTTAAGGAGATATCTTTCAACCAATGGATCACAGGTTGGAATACCACCAGCTACTGAGGTTTGGGCAGCCAGGTAGTATCATTAACCTTCACACAGTAGGTGTGACACAGTGCCTACTGCACGAATATGCGTATATTGGTTGATTGGATTTCCATTTCGACACACAAGGGTGTATGAGAAGAAAATACCTTTTACTGTGAAATTAAATAGTGACACACTATATGACATTCTCAACCTCGCCTGGTTAACTAGTTCACTAGTTACTAACCGGTCCTAAGCCCGGATAAAGAGGTAAGGTTGGGTATAGGGCTGGCGACCCTACCCCGTAAAACCAATACAATCGCTAAAGAAACTTCAAAGCACAAAGAAAATATAAAACACAAAAACAAACTTATTTCTCACTGGGATCGGACGGACGAAATGACGCCGGTTGGTGAAAGCCTTCGGGAAGCCAGTCGGTCGATGTGTCCTCTCTCGATGAAACCGAAAATAAGGATGGGGATATGGAATATCCGTACCATGTATGAATCTACCAAGGCTGCCCAGATTGCGAAAGAGATGAGGAGGTATGGCATGGAAGTGCTTGGAATCTGAGAAAGCAGATGGAACGGAAGAGGACTCTCCAAACTGTCAACCGGAGAGTCAATAATCTACTCCGGTCACCCAGACGACAAACACGAGCACACTGAGTTTTGGGGTGGCTATCATGATGTCCCCAACAGCATCGAAGGATCTAATGCAGTGGGAACCAATCTCCTGCAGGATCGTGACAGCAAGATTCAACTCAAAAGGAAGGAAGGTCACAATCATACAATGCTACGCTATCCACCTACAAATAATGCAGATCAAGAGAAGAAGGAGAAATTCTACAGACGACTGCAGTCAACACTGGACAAGACCTCAGTTGGTGACATCAAGATCCGTTAGAACAATGGGTGGGGTGACATGAATGCCAAACTGGGAGCGGACAACATAGGAAGAGAACTCATCATGAGTCGAGAAGCACTCGGTGAAATGATCGAGAATGGAGAACTGTTTGCAGGTTTCTGCGCATTCAACGATTTGGTGATTGGAGGCAGTGTGTACAAACACAAGGATATTCACAAGGCGACATGGATTCAGTTTCACCAGATGGACACACTAAAAGTCAGATCGACTTCATTTCAATCTGGAGAAAATGGAGACGCAGTCTACTGGACACAAGATCAAGAAGAGGAGCAGATGTAGGTTCCAACCACTCACTTTCTAGAGCAAGAAAACTTCAAAATCAAGTTGAAACCTTCCAAAGAAGTTGGTGGTGGACCACAGTTGACGTTCAACAGTCAGAACAGAAAGTGAAGTGAAGGACGAGACTACAAAGGACATCTGCACGTCAGCCACCAGGAAAAAATGGGAGACATTAAGCAACATCCCTGAAGAAAACTGCGTGGAAGAACACTGGAACTCTTTGAAACAGGTGTGGAAAGAAACCTGCATCACCCTGTTAGGAAGGAAGAAGAAGAAACAAGACAAGGAATGGATCTCGACGGACACGTAGAAGCTGATAGAGTAGGGAGAGGAAGATGGTGAAGCAGAAGATGAACCAGTGCAAGGATGCACAACGAAAAGAGGAACTGAACACAACCTATAAAACACTGGACAAAGAAGTGAAGAAGAGTGCGCAGAAAGACAAAAGGCACTTTTACGGCACACTTGCAAGTGAAGCAGAACAGGCTACGGGTAGGAGAGACCTGAGAACATTATATCAAATAACCAGGTTACTATCCGAGAAGAGATCAACGCAGACGAAACCAATGAAAGATAGTGAGGAAAACTTAATTACCAAAGAGGAGGAATAAAGGAAACAGGGCTGACCACTTCCAAAAAGCTCTTGAGTCGACCACCACCTGCAACCCGTCCAGAAATACCACCAGCAGCCACAGAATTACCAGTGAACACAAGTCCTTTAACAAAAGCAAAAGTCCTGAACGCCACAAAGTTGCTGAAAGCCGGGAGAGCAGCGGAACCAGATGGAATTCCACCAGAAGCACTGAAAACAGGTGCAGAGAACAGCGGACATACTCACACCACTACTACAAAAGGTTTGGAAGGAAGGAACGAACGAAACGCACCTGCCCATTGATTGGAAGAATGGCTACCTTGTCAAACTCCCAAGGAAGGGAGACCTAAGTATGTGCAGGAACTGGTGTGGAATCATGCTACTGTCCACTCCAAGCAAAATATTAAGCCGCATCACCCTGGAGAGACTAAAGGATGCACTGGATTCAAAATACGACCGGAACAGGCTGGCTTCAGGAAGTACAAATCATGTGCGGACCAAATTGCAACGCCACTCTACGCATCATCATAGAACAGAGTATAGAATGGCAGTCAACGCTCTACCTCAACTTCATCGACTTTGAGAAGGCCTTTGACAGCGTCGACTGACAAGTAATTTGGCAGTTGCTTCAACACTACGGAATACCACAAATCTTTATCAACCTCATTCAGCAGCTATATGACGACACCACATGCCAAGTGATCCACAATGGGAAGCTCAGTGATGCTTTTGAAGTGAAGATGGGAGTAAGACAAGCTTGCTGCCTACTTTCACCCATAATCTTCGTGGTTGTGGTCGACTGGATCATGCAACAAACAGTGAGGAACGAGAAGAGGGGGATATGTAGTTTAACCGATGAAAAGACTCTGAAATATTTGGATTTCGCCGATGATGGTTTATGTCTAGTGTCGCACAAACTCGAAGATCGACAGGCGAAAACTAACAAGTTGACAGAAGAGGCAGGGCAGCGAAGCTGGGGCTTCAAGTGAATGTAGAGAAGACAGAGGTGATGAAGATAGCCAACCAACAACAACAAGCTCCAATCACCATGAACGGGAGAAACCTAAAGGACGTAGTCTCTTTCATCTATCTAGGCAGCCCTGTTTCAATCGACTACAGGCGGCAGCGGCACTGACGAGGATGTCAAGTCCAGGATCGGAAAGACAGCAAGATAGGCTTTCACTAATCTGAAATCAGTGTGGAGGTCTACTGCACTCAGCATGTGCAACAAGATCCGGATTTTCAACACTAATTCAGTCAAGTCAGTGTTTCTATGGGATGGTTCAGAGACTTGGCACGTTACAAAAATCACTTCCAACAAACTACAGACATTCATCAACAGCTGCCTACGCTCGATACTGAAGATCAGATGAGAAGGCCAGAAAGAAAAAGCAACAGGGAACTCTGGCCTGGCAACGAACCAGCTAAGAACCTATCGCCCAACAAAAATGCAGAAGAAAGTGGAGATGGATTGGGCATACACTGAAAAGGCCGACTGGAGGCGTCACGTTCCAGGCCAGTCCGTCGAGTGGAATCCAAGAGGGAAACGACGAGTTGGGCGTCCCAGCTGAGGTTGACATGGAGGAGATCATGTGAGGAAGAAATGAAAGCTTGTGGGTAGTCGTGGAGCCAGGTTGAAAAGACTGCAGAGAACAGATTGAGATGGAGGCGTGCTACTGAAACCTTATGTTCTACTAGGAACCCTAGGGTCAACTAATAATAAATAATATTTTTCCCCACCTTGTGAAGATACGCTCATCTTTTATATTCTCTTTTAGTTTGCCTTAGACGTAGGCTTATTTTTATACTTCTGACGCACTCTGTGTTATGCCTTTTAATATATATAAACCAGCAGATGCGTCATAATTTGAGATTTGTTGTTTATTAGTCACTTTAATTTGTTAATACACCAATACCGTATTTCAGATAGATCTAGTGTTTTGGATGTTACGCGTAAGTAGATCATTTGGTTTATTGTTGGCGAAACGTTTTTGGTTCCGGATTTCTTGGAAAGAAATTCATGATAACTACCTCTTTCTTTATTGGATTAACATCAAACACACGAGGAGAATAAGTTAATACTCCGTTTCAGATATCAGAAACTAAGGAAAGAGGTATTAGACCTGAGAAACCGTGTACTGTAAATTTTTAAACCATACACAGAGGCTGAACGGATGGCTCAAGAGGAGTGCAGACTCGTCGCTTTTGGATATCATAGGCATTGGCAATGCAATGATTAAAGCCTGACCTCTGCATACACCTCCTGTTGTGAAGACCATGCTCTGACTTTCTTCATTGCTCCAATATTCATCTTACTCTAATTGACTGACCGTTGTTATTCTTCTTAGTTTATAAATGAATTCCCTGCATGTGTATGCATTACTTCCAGTTTCCCACTTAAATTCTTGCCGTATTTTACTCCAATTTTTCATTTTAACTGGTATTATTACTAATTTTTTAACCTACACTATGATCCTCTGAATATTTTTCTTATGCACCCTAAGATAACTCAGCCAATTTCCAACTCAAAAAACTATCCACTACTTCTTTCTAGAATATTGCATTTCGATGGCCTAATTTTTACTGAATGACCTATCAACCTAATGAATAAGAGACCTGCATGTATGTTTGTAATTACAATAAGCGCAATTCAACAGGTACTAAATATAACTCGTCGAAAAGAAAATTCTCTTCACTGAATAACTTTCGTGTCATTCAACATCGCTAATTTTTTTAATTTGATAGGATTGAAAGGAACTCAAAGCAGTGAATGAACTAGTGTGAATCAGTTTCCTCAGAATTAGCAAAAAGCTTTCTTAAAGAGTGTAAGCGAAAAAATTCTAAATTTAAATCTTTCAATAAACTAACTACTGACTACTTCGTAACATCTGCTGTCGAATGGAATGTTTTGGTTGCGAGGTTGTTAATCAACTTGCAGAATTGACCGATGAAATCCAGTCAACCAGTCAGTCTATTGGTCCTTCAGTTTGAAGATATGTGGGTCTAGCAATTGCTTGTCCATTCATGTCACATCATCAATACAGGAGTTGACTAGAACATGTGATTGTTAAAATCTCAGATGAAGTAATATTCGTGTCGGCGACCGTTTTGTTCGAAAAATATGCTTTGCTAATTAATCCTCAGTGTACGAATTATCAGCAAGGCAAACAACAGGTCAATATGATAGCGAGTTGTCGTACATGCAAACTATCAATTGTCGAACGAACTGAAGACGAATGAATTCACCGAAACATTTTACAACAAACGTTTCCATATTATTTCCTGTGAAAACTACAATCTTTCAAGATTACAAACTACTCACGGCTAGATACTGCCCATCACTTATTCAACATATCCTACTAAAAATTTACCCTTAAAGTAGCTAGCGAAGGCACTGTTGAGTATGAGACTGAAACTTGGTATGAAAGTAAGTTGCTTACATATAACCACTTGATAAGTTCTGAAAGTGTGACGTCAATCTAATCAACGAACCCTCAACCTCGAAAGAATTCAAGGCAGTGTTTTGTAAACCCTACGCCTTCCGAAGTTTTGCTTGTAAACTTCATTTCTACCTGCGCCACTTGAAATCGGTCTCCAGTAGCAAGACCACCGCAATTAGTCTCATCAACCCAAAAGATTAACTGTAGTATAATCAATGTTTTGCCTACCTTGGATTGTATTTTTGATGAATTTGGTTGTAAATAGTTGCTGGAATTGGTTAAACTTCGTTTTAACTCTTGTTCATCCAATTTATCACAAAATTTATTTGCATAATTAATGAAGGTTTCATCTACCTGGAAGTAAATTACAAACGTAAATATTTAAATAGTACTTTTTTGAACCAACCTAGATAAATTTAATGAACATTGTGTCTGTATTCAACTAGATTACATCCTGCGTATTCTATTCATTATAGGGCTAAATAAGTACTCATGGAGTTAACAAGGCATGCTTTCATCGTTCTATGGTATTCTTGTCACTGGTTTCATCTATTATGTCCTCGATTTACCTTTAGATCTTCAACTTACTGGTTAAGGTACACAACTTTCAACTAATCAGATGCTAGTCTGAAGTACACTCACCTCAAGGGTGAGAAAGAAGACCCTGATATAATAGGCGTGCCTCGTTTTCCAGTAAAGCAGCCTGTATCTAGCTGTTACGTTAATTTGTGATAATATTATGAGTGAAACCATTTGACTAATGGGTTATCTAGAATAATCCACCTGTACATAGATGAACTAGTAGGTTTGGTGAAATCCAGCTATTTTAGGTATACTAACAAATAACGTGAGTAACGAGGAAACCCACTTTTATACTGTTTAGGAAAACTCAGGTTTGTCCACGACTGTATACAGTAGCTTTCACACGGGGTAGCCTAATACCAATATTCAGTAGTATACTTCTAGTTCTAGAAGTTTTGTTCTTTCATTCAAGTGAACGTATATTCACACAGCCGCGTTAGAGCTCTGTCCAGCTTGTCGATCTACGCACTTAATTTTCAACCGATGGGTCATGTGCTCCGACCCTATCCACATCTGTCCACGTTTGGGTAGGTAGCCAGGTAGTCAGTATAATAAACCCTGAAACAAAAAATAGGTGTGGCTCATTTTTTACTGCAGGAATGTGTACAAGGTTGTTGAGTGGACTTTCGTCATAGCAGATATTTCACTGCAACCAAAGCTTAAAATAAGAGTGATGCAATTCAGTGGAACGTATTTTCAGAATACTGTTGTAGTTCTTTTACAACCTAAAAATTTCTAATCGTGGATTTTGATATGTTTTATCATGGTGTAAAGAGCATTGGAATGAAGCTATGCGATTTATACTGCACATAGACATAGAAATCTGGAGACTGACTTACACTAATCAACAGAACTGATGACTAAGTCTCTGAGAAAATCAACTAAAAGCAATCATTGTAAGACGTTATTTGCGTGTGCCGCATGTTCTTGTAGAAGCAACACTGGTCACATACTACGCAGAAATTATCTATAAGACTGGAAGAGGTGATGAATTATCCACCAGCAGTAGCCGACTTCTTTTGTACAACAAATATGTGTTATTTTGTGAAGTGACTGCTGTTCAAGTTATTTACTGACAGAACACTCAAATCCTTAGTGAATTCCATGGCTAACCAACAAATTCGAAGTTTTAAGATAAGCTGCATGATTATACGTGTATAAATCAGACTGGCGAATTCGAAAAAACTAAAACAGAATGTTTTCCAATGAATATTTTGTGGGGATTGGTTGACCTGTAGTCAGTTCTAATCATAGATTGATATCACCTGAAAATCCGGGAAAACTGGACAGGTGATGAATCTTAAGGCAAGATGCCTCAGTAGAGAGCTCCCAAGAACCCACGAGGGATCTAGTTCAGGATCGTGAGGTCTCACGATGAACACATGACCATTTAGTTGCTGCGTTGAAATCTAATAGTCTACATTCTCGTAGTTTTGTCAGTTCGTGATATAATTCGATCATCGGAGAGTAACCATTCTCACACCTGATTTGGCTGACTCTAAATATCTTGACATCGCACTAAAACTTTAGTGAATTCAGCTTCAATCAAGTTACTAGTGAGCATTGAACACTAATTGCACGGTTGTAAGGATAGGTTTATTTCAGTGCAGATTTCATCATCAATATCCGTCGGTCGAAGGAATATAAATATTCGTAAGTAAAAAGCCTTATAATAAATATTCAGTGATTTCTCTACTTCTTCCTTTTTCTCTAAAATGCGAAACGATCAGCAGTGAGATCTTAAACTTATTGTCTAAGCGCTCATTTAAATATTGGTAACTTACACTATATGAGTAGTGAATATTAGAGAGGCTTTTTTACCATTCTTGTTGTTCAGATGGTAAGTCGCCTCAGTTCAATCACTTAGCCAGTTGTGCTGGCTTTCGTTTGCAGGAATACATCGAAATGCAAGTATATCTGACTAAATACAGCACAATATAGGTGGAAATATCAGTAATAACTTCGATTGCTATTCAAAATTAAATGTATAATTGCCTATAAAAGCGCATATGTGCAGTGCTAACCATTACGAATATGTGGTGTTAGGTGGTTGGTGTCAACCAACAGGTGGCGATGGACTTAGATCTCGAGATAACTGACTCTGCTTCAAAGATCAAAACTCATGTCACTTATTGCTACAACCAGATATGTTAATACTGGTCGGAAGAATTCGGCCAACACCTCTTGTGATAGGAATCGACCTAAATAGAAATCAACATTTTAAGTCTTCAGCAGCTTAGGTAAACTTTTTGTATTTCATGTCATTGTGTAATCAGGAGAAACCTTACTGGACAATTTTGTCTTTCAGTTGGCCAATCAGAATAGGCTACTTATTTTTCGACCTGATGGTTTATTATGTTCATGAAAGCTGTATATAAATAATGCATTTTGTCTTCCTTACAGTCACAGATCAACCCTTGCCGTCCGATATTTTTGTGGCTCAGTGTATTATAGGGTACTGAGGGATAACACTAGCTATTCGTCTTTAGTCAAGTATATCATTGCATTTATGTCGTTCACTTGTTTCTTGACCGCTTCAATTGGCAACGGGTGTCGATTTCACTAAATGATCTCAAATCTATTCTGTAACTACAACAAACCCAAAATGAAGGATCTCAATTGAAATTAATGGAAGCTCTAACACAGAAGTTGTCAATTCAATCTTCGTCAACATCTCATTCAAATAAATATGAAAGTATTTCTGATTCTGTCAATGATTTTAATCGTGATCCAATATCTGGTCTCATTTTCAGTCCACGGTCTAATCATTATGAAGATTTTTTCGCATTGAATACTTCATGTTCGACGATCTCGTCAAAGTTCCTGCCTGTAATTTTCGAAATATTGCTAATAGCAGCAATAAATAATGATTAGCGTGGCTGGAAATCTATCACCATTTATGCAAAGGCACTCCTTCTCAGTTCAAATTTTAATCATTTTACTGGCTTCGGTGCATTTGTTTCATGTCAGCCAACCGTCCATTAAGCTAGTTGGTCAAAATGAATATTTAGTTGAAAGGTTGACACAATTGTTTCTTTAGCATCGAGATAACCTGGATATGTGCTGCGCATGCCAAACCACCACCCACCTCTGAGTGCAGTGATAAGAGAAGTTGGATTAGTTTGGAAGACGTTTCAGGATGGCCAGACCAGTATGTAGTACCATCGAATAACTTTTATGCGAAGTTCCACGTTGATTTTGTCTGTCTTAGTATTGAGTAGAGGTTATTCTGTAGCCCGCTTGAATGAATATCAAGAGACCTGTACCGTTATCCCACGGATTGTCTATACTGATTTTCAGACAGTAAAACTAATGTCTGGTTAGTGACAAGTTCATTGAATTGACAGCTTGCTTCACAAATTGGACATGGCTTAGATATTGACGCCTAATATGTGTTAATGTACTACACTTAGACCACTGCTAAATCCAAGTTGTTATGCAGAAAGTACATGAAGATCATGTACTGAGACTTTCGACGCGAGAAAACTGGCAATCAACAAAGGCAATTAATCATAAGAAGAAAGTTGGAACATAGTTTTTGACAATTGCATCATGTAAAGTAAGTGGTAACGTCTTGTAAAACCTTGAATACTACCTAGATTTTCTTTACACTAATGAAAAGTTTATTTGGAGCAATGGTCGGTTATATTTTGCTCATCTGAAGAAACTACAAGGAGCGAGATATATTTTGCAAACGATAAGAACGATGTTCCTGACATATGAATAGGTGCAAAGCGTTGAAACAATGTCTGTGCATTAGTAAAAACACTTGTATGTGAGGTTGACTAATTAGCTTGTTTCTGAGGTACATTTAGAATCATGCTCACAAGTTTCTCAAATGCTTGAATTCATTACAATCCTTTAGTTACATATATGTCAAACATTTAAGTCCGGAATACCTCTCGCCCTGGCCAAAGGTTTCTACAATTTCCTGTTGAACAAAGTAACATCGAAGAAAAATGCCTTTGATCTTTGAGGTTCGCAAGTGCACACTCCCTTTTTTTATAAACAAACATAGTCGTCATCGATCTTATTGCAAAAACGTAACTTTAGTTTTGAGTATATTTAAACTCCCATCATGATCCTTCCAACTTAGAGTAAATAATGATGTGATGATGCTATCGATAAGCTATTGAGGATCATGAATTGAGCTTCGACAGTAATAAATGCTTCTTGAATATTGTAGCTGATTTTAGGGGAAAACGATTTGTAACAGAAAAGCAAAGGCTTTCTACAAGCAACATTTTTCTGTTAGATATCAGCATCAGTGTCACCTTGTACGTGTATTCAACGTTAGAAAGACTTGCTGATTACAAGAAGTACACTGATTTTTCCTCAAGTTAACACCTTTACCAGATGTTTTTAACATTGTTTAATACTAAAAACATGTTTGTACACGTATTCAAACTACTAACAGTAGTATAAATCTAAAAGTGAAAGTTATGCATAGGTTTTACCTGATATTCTCCTTTGTTACTGCATTTCTCAGCAGCCGGTCCTTTTTCCCTGTCCGATACTTTCTCTGTACCGTATCCAGGAGTTGATTGATGATTACCGAACTGAGAAACTAAGGAGTTTATTTTCTTATCAGTAATGACTCTGAATGAAGCACTAAATCTATTAATCTTTCGTACAGAGAAAAATGAAATAATGGAAAGGATAATATTTTGGATAACAATTACACTGTATGATCAGTCATTTCCAAATGATGAGAGTTAAAAGGCGAAAGTTCTTCTTGGCCACACAAAATTCATGGTTAAACAAATAAACCTAGCATGGAATAACTCTCTACCCAAGTGACCATATTCACTTCTTAAACTGATGAAAGGAAACTATGACTGATTGATCTGACTTTATTCTGTTATCTTTTTTGCGATGTAGTTATTATATTATTCTTTCTGTTTTACGGATTTTAGACCTGTGGAGTTCAGCTGAATCGAATTCACTTTCATCACTTAAAATATATTCACAAGTTGATCACCACTACTGGATGAATGATTTTGATGCCTGATCCATAATGCTTAACACTAGCCGAAGTTTGTTCATCAAGTTATGTAATGTGGTCACAGTGACACGAAACTATGATGAACTGCTTGTCTGGGTTAGAAATAGGTAAGTCAGCGGTGATTGCTAGGATCGATATAGCCGTCTATAAGGAGTGATTTTTTCATTTGAATAGTACAGGAGTGAACTCTACGACCTCAACATTAAGTGATACGGGATCGAGTCACAAAGGGAAGACAAGTTTACTTACAATGGCCTTGCTTATGAATGACAACAAAGACGAAAAGTAGATCCAAGGCTTCCTGTCAACGGTATCCCAGCATATGAAAAATTTTGTATTCATACATAATATACATCAATTTCTTCTATGCTGCTCATCTAGGAACTTTACTTGATATCAGCTGTTGATATCAACTGTTTGTATTGACTGATCACTGCGGAACAGCTAAGGTCATGTTATCTAGCCCTGAATCCTGGCCGAATTCTTTCAGTCATTTTTCAGTGTGTTAGGCAAGCTAGAAGATTAACTAGGACAGTCAGCTTTGCCTAGCACTAAATAGTTCGAGGTTTTATTCAAAGCTCTGATCCTGGTTTACATTAAAATGACCGAATAATTCCAATCAGCAAATATTTACTCAAATTCATTTCTGATAAATTCGTTCATTCCACGATGTACAAACTCCGAATGGATTTAACTGACGTACCATTAATTGCTCACAGTTACTAGTCATTGTGTTTTTGATGGAGTTGGGAATGCTAGATCCACAAAAGTGAACATTTCATGTCTAAATTTCAAAAATTTAATTTGCAGAAATTTTGAATTATCTTTTTCACGCTCTACCCCACCTCATGTATATCACTGATTTTCACCACTTTTAGGAACGCTATTTTCCCATTGGTTAATCTTCCACTTTTAATGTGCTAACTTGTCTGTTCACCCCAAAGATGCTCACTTTGTATATAAACGTAGCAGTTGCGTCCGCCGACTGAAGTAAATTCTCTTCTTCCTTCTGTTAACGGTGCAAGCTGTTGAATCTCATATCCTTCATCTGATTTCTAGACTACCCGTCCTTAGTTAAAGGTATTCAAAAATCACAACAGAGTGTCAATGTCAATGTAAATAGTTCAATGGCAACATTTTCCCAAAATACTGGGTGGCTTTGTTCCAAATTTCTCTCAAGCTCTCGGATACGCTTTATTCATATTCGCCTACAAAAGGAGATCAAGTAGAGCTGAATACTAGTTGCCTCTTACAACCTCATACCAGATATTGACAACTGCATAGTCTGTTTCATCAGGACTTGTAGTGTTAGAATCAGTATTCAATCCTTCACCACTTCACTCCACTTTGAAACTTTGCATGGTCATTCAGTTTAACAAAAGTACTGTTTTCAGCTCAAGAGAAATTCTGACCTAAAATGAATTTATTTCATTTTGAAAATCTAGTTCCTCCTACTTTAATTGCAGTGAATTCTGGTTACTCTTAAGAATACTCTGTCCGAAGTCAACTATCTAGGATCCAGATGAGAATCCGTAGCTCTGATTACTAACAGAAGATAAAACATTCCACATCACAAACTGATTAAGATTCAACAGGAAGCTGAGAAAACCCTCACCCGTAGTTCCTACTGTGGTATGGTGACTGCAGATGCTCAGCACCTCCGTCTGCTTTCACGATGTATCAGATCTAAGTATTTCTAGGGAGTTCTTCAGCAGGACTAAGTAAAACTGCCGAAGTCTAAATATAAAAATACCTCTTCAAACTAAAAAGTTACTTGTTACATACAGGCTTGGAATAAAGTCTGAACTTTATATATCCCATTTCTACTGTGATAAATTAAGCTTCTTACGAACTTCCATCATAATTCCAAATCCATCTGAATGAACAAAGAACATTCTTTTTGATAACTTCTTCTTCAGGTTCCATAGATGACGAAAAATTATACAGTATGGAAAGGTAACTGTAGGCACTGAAGAAGAAGTTATCGGGAAGGAATAATTTAAGTGTTTCTTTCAAATATTAAATGGATTTCTCAGCGAAATTAACCTGGAATAAGTTGAAAATCTAAACACTATGTAGTAATTAATTCAGAAATCTCTATAACATGATGAATTTGAATAAACTCAGTGGATGAATACGTCTGTTGATCATTGCAATGAACTGATAAAGTTATTCATACTTTAGGGTGACCATCGCTTCCAAGAGTTAGCCGAATTAATTGCGTAATATACAAACGCTAACTGACGGCAGCGCATAGTAAAATAGAGTTTTCGGCAGTTCATTAGGGTATTCTACTTTTTAAACATACTATAACATTGAGTATTCGGAGTCATTAACACATAGTAACCCTGCTGATAAGACATCTCAATGCAAAAGATGACAAATGATTATTTGTGTAGTTCAAATGTGTATGGTATACCTGCTGGACAAGTCTCTAACTTACACAGTTTGGACTTGCTATTCTCTCTTCCATATTTTGGAACTGGATAGCTTTGAGCTTACATTATGAAACTTATGTATGCTGTTCCCTACTATCTCCTTGCGACAACTTACCTCTAGACTAGACACATGTAGACTAGCAATGATTTGATGCTAAGGCTTGATTGATTTAAAGCCTTAGATCCACCTGAGTTTCACCGTTGTTGGCACTCAGTAACACACTGTGTCTACAGTCTTGAGAAAGTTTACTTTCTCTCTTCCATACCAAAGTTAGAGAATTCGCAGTCACACTATCAAGGTTATAGCTCAGTGTCCATGCCTAGTGACTCGATAATATTAGTGGTCACAACGCAGTCTCAGTCCACAGATTTCGATCATTACTCAAAAGTGGAATATAATGTCAGTTACCATCTTCTATTTTATATACTAACATCAAAGTATTGAAAACTGTTATCTATATACCGAAAGATGGAGTAGTTAGTTCATTATTATCCGTCAGTAAAATAGTGCATTTCTGAATGCTATTACAATATCAAATGTTCAAATCTCAGTGGTCAATATCAGATGTTCCACACTACAGTGATTTCATGTCATCCAGAAGACTCTCACAGATAAAGAGAACGAAAGTGTTTTTAAAGCATGAAGCGTTCACTGTAGGCTTCAGAAAATTCCAGATACCACTTACTTGTGACTACTTGCAAGGAGATCATCTCCATCTAGTGAATGACTAGTGGGAACTTTTTACAGTAGCATGTCTGTCAAATATTTGGTAAAGACAAACACTTGCTACTTTAACTAAAGCTCAATAATTTCAACCGAATCACAACGTATTTCGGACCCTAGTTCAACCCCACACAAAGACGCATCTCATGCTCTTAAAGTGTGAAAAACCAGTGAAGCAAGCGGAGGACACGAGATTCTGACTTTCTTCAAAAACTGATAGAGAATGCAGAAAATTTCTACTATTTTACTGCAGATAACTTCATACACAAGAACCAATAGATAACTATGTGAACAATAAATCTATAGTACCGCGATAAGAAAACTGGCTAGGTAGAATAATTAACCTTCACACAGTAGGTGTGACACAGTGCCTACTGCACGAATATGCGTATATTGGTTGATTGGATTTCCATTTCGACACACAAGGGTGTATGAGAAGAAAATACCTTTTACTGTGAAATTAAATAGTGACACACTATATGACATTCTCAACCTCGCCTGGTTAACTAGTTCACTAGTTACTAACCGGTCCTAAGCCCGGATAAAGAGGTAAGGTTGGGTATAGGGCTGGCGACCCTACCCCGTAAAACCAATACAATCGCTAAAGAAACTTCAAAGCACAAAGAAAATATAAAACACAAAAACAAACTTATTTCTCACTGGGATCGGACGGACGAAATGACGCCGGTTGGTGAAAGCCTTCGGGAAGCCAGTCGGTCGATGTGTCCTCTCTCGATGAAACCGAAAATAAGGATGGGGATATGGAATATCCGTACCATGTATGAATCTACCAAGGCTGCCCAGATTGCGAAAGAGATGAGGAGGTATGGCATGGAAGTGCTTGGAATCTGAGAAAGCAGATGGAACGGAAGAGGACTCTCCAAACTGTCAACCGGAGAGTCAATAATCTACTCCGGTCACCCAGACGACAAACACGAGCACACTGAGTTTTGGGGTGGCTATCATGATGTCCCCAACAGCATCGAAGGATCTAATGCAGTGGGAACCAATCTCCTGCAGGATCGTGACAGCAAGATTCAACTCAAAAGGAAGGAAGGTCACAATCATACAATGCTACGCTATCCACCTACAAATAATGCAGATCAAGAGAAGAAGGAGAAATTCTACAGACGACTGCAGTCAACACTGGACAAGACCTCAGTTGGTGACATCAAGATCCGTTAGAACAATGGGTGGGGTGACATGAATGCCAAACTGGGAGCGGACAACATAGGAAGAGAACTCATCATGAGTCGAGAAGCACTCGGTGAAATGATCGAGAATGGAGAACTGTTTGCAGGTTTCTGCGCATTCAACGATTTGGTGATTGGAGGCAGTGTGTACAAACACAAGGATATTCACAAGGCGACATGGATTCAGTTTCACCAGATGGACACACTAAAAGTCAGATCGACTTCATTTCAATCTGGAGAAAATGGAGACGCAGTCTACTGGACACAAGATCAAGAAGAGGAGCAGATGTAGGTTCCAACCACTCACTTTCTAGAGCAAGAAAACTTCAAAATCAAGTTGAAACCTTCCAAAGAAGTTGGTGGTGGACCACAGTTGACGTTCAACAGTCAGAACAGAAAGTGAAGTGAAGGACGAGACTACAAAGGACATCTGCACGTCAGCCACCAGGAAAAAATGGGAGACATTAAGCAACATCCCTGAAGAAAACTGCGTGGAAGAACACTGGAACTCTTTGAAACAGGTGTGGAAAGAAACCTGCATCACCCTGTTAGGAAGGAAGAAGAAGAAACAAGACAAGGAATGGATCTCGACGGACACGTAGAAGCTGATAGAGTAGGGAGAGGAAGATGGTGAAGCAGAAGATGAACCAGTGCAAGGATGCACAACGAAAAGAGGAACTGAACACAACCTATAAAACACTGGACAAAGAAGTGAAGAAGAGTGCGCAGAAAGACAAAAGGCACTTTTACGGCACACTTGCAAGTGAAGCAGAACAGGCTACGGGTAGGAGAGACCTGAGAACATTATATCAAATAACCAGGTTACTATCCGAGAATAGATCAACGCAGACGAAACCAATGAAAGATAGTGAGGAAAACTTAATTACCAAAGAGGAGGAATAAAGGAAACAGGGCTGACCACTTCCAAAAAGCTCTTGAGTCGACCACCACCTGCAACCCGTCCAGAAATACCACCAGCAGCCACAGAATTACCAGTGAACACAAGTCCTTTAACAAAAGCAAAAGTCCTGAACGCCACAAAGTTGCTGAAAGCCGGGAGAGCAGCGGAACCAGATGGAATTCCACCAGAAGCACTGAAAACAGGTGCAGAGAACAGCGGACATACTCACACCACTACTACAAAAGGTTTGGAAGGAAGGAACGAACGAAACGCACCTGCCCATTGATTGGAAGAATGGCTACCTTGTCAAACTCCCAAGGAAGGGAGACCTAAGTATGTGCAGGAACTGGTGTGGAATCATGCTACTGTCCACTCCAAGCAAAATATTAAGCCGCATCACCCTGGAGAGACTAAAGGATGCACTGGATTCAAAATACGACCGGAACAGGCTGGCTTCAGGAAGTACAAATCATGTGCGGACCAAATTGCAACGCCACTCTACGCATCATCATAGAACAGAGTATAGAATGGCAGTCAACGCTCTACCTCAACTTCATCGACTTTGAGAAGGCCTTTGACAGCGTCGACTGACAAGTAATTTGGCAGTTGCTTCAACACTACGGAATACCACAAATCTTTATCAACCTCATTCAGCAGCTATATGACGACACCACATGCCAAGTGATCCACAATGGGAAGCTCAGTGATGCTTTTGAAGTGAAGATGGGAGTAAGACAAGCTTGCTGCCTACTTTCACCCATAATCTTCGTGGTTGTGGTCGACTGGATCATGCAACAAACAGTGAGGAACGAGAAGAGGGGGATATGTAGTTTAACCGATGAAAAGACTCTGAAATATTTGGATTTCGCCGATGATGGTTTATGTCTAGTGTCGCACAAACTCGAAGATCGACAGGCGAAAACTAACAAGTTGACAGAAGAGGCAGGGCAGCGAAGCTGGGGCTTCAAGTGAATGTAGAGAAGACAGAGGTGATGAAGATAGCCAACCAACAACAACAAGCTCCAATCACCATGAACGGGAGAAACCTAAAGGACGTAGTCTCTTTCATCTATCTAGGCAGCCCTGTTTCAATCGACTACAGGCGGCAGCGGCACTGACGAGGATGTCAAGTCCAGGATCGGAAAGACAGCAAGATAGGCTTTCACTAATCTGAAATCAGTGTGGAGGTCTACTGCACTCAGCATGTGCAACAAGATCCGGATTTTCAACACTAATTCAGTCAAGTCAGTGTTTCTATGGGATGGTTCAGAGACTTGGCACGTTACAAAAATCACTTCCAACAAACTACAGACATTCATCAACAGCTTCCCACGCTCGATACTGAAGATCAGATGAGAAGGCCAGAAAGAAAAAGCAACAGGGAACTCTGGCCTGGCAACGAACCAGCTAAGAACCTATCGCCCAACAAATATGCAGAAGAAAGTGGAGATGGATTGGGCATACACTGAAAAGGCCGACTGGAGGCGTCACGTTCCAGGCCAGTCCGTCGAGTGGAATCCAAGAGGGAAACGACGAGTTGGGCGTCCCAGCTGAGGTTGACATGGAGGAGATCATGTGAGGAAGAAATGAAAGCTTGTAGGTAGTCGTGGAGCCAGGTTGAAAAGACTGCAGAGAACAGATTGAGATGGAGGCGTGCTACTGAAACCTTATGTTCTACTAGGAACCCGAGGGGCAATTAATACTATTACTGCGATTAGAATAAATCACCATGAACCGCCTTCATTTGCTTAGCTTGTAACTTTTAGATCCAGTCTTAAAATGTATCCTCTTCAAATCTGCTTCTACCCCAGACTAGCTTCGCTTAAGGAACGGGTGAAATCCTGCGAGTACTAGTTTATGAATACGTAGTTGTGTGCATCCACCACCTGGTAGATTATCCCATCCGGGACTGTTAGTTAGGTCTTCTGGTGACACAATATTTATTTGTTCCTTAAGGTTGAAACTGAATGATTCATATTTCCTTACTTCAGTCAATTCACGATATACCTTACCACCGATCAGTATTTGCCTTCTTACTTGATGGGTGAAGGTTTCCTATTCGAAACTTAAAAAGATACTTTTATTGAGCAACTTGAGTAGTTAGAAACTACTTACTCTGATCTGTAGATTTCACCGACCGAATAAAACTGATCTGAACTCTGGACAACCATTTTGCTTGTTCCGGCCTGAGCTCATCAGAGGTGTACCCAGAATAATTGTGAACACTGAATCTGGCTAGCTGACTTACGTGAACCATCGCACCTAGAATAAGATGATCAGTGTGCAAATGATTAAGAAATTGTACGACCTTCGTTGACATTCTCCACAGTTGAGTAGTTTACCAACTTCCCAACTGTACTATCAACACAGTTTCCTTTGGAAACCACCCAACCAAGATCACACTGAGTGATCCCCCACACAAAAATGTCCATAGCTAGCCGGATACACTAATATTGTACAACCTGAGTAGTTTCTAAACTACTCAGTGGAACCAGCTGGCTGTTTCGCATTGTTGCCTTGAATACTTTTATTATTAACATCACTGGGATGCAATAACCGTCTCGCCTAAAAATATTTTTCTGAGAGGGACTTTGCTGAAAATTGCATGCTTATAATTCCATATAGTATCATACATATTGTTTGGAACAAATCGGTTATCAATATCAATAATTTGTCAATCGAAACCTAAGAAAATCTTGAAGCAACATACTAACAACTATTGGGTTATTATTTCTAGGCTGAATCCCTCATAGTGTAGTAGGTATGAACTAATAAAGAATCCCGAAGTAGAACAAAACAGCTACCCAGTGCTAACAGGATTTCAGTAGTCTTCTAGCTGATATAAATCCTCTGTGACAACCACTATTAAGTCAACCAGTCATTCCTCACCCTCGCATGCTGAGCTTCTGTTACTAAATGAGGGCTAAAAGTATCTTCCCACTACTGTCTGGTGATTACACATTCCAAAATCAAAAATCAATCCCTTCAATTAATTTAGGGACTCTAAAGGTATAAACTTCCTTACCACATTTGGCTTTCTTCCAGGTGGTTTTGGTTTTTGTTTGATTGACTCGTTGACTTATTTCCATCATCAACCAGTTCGTATAGCTCTTCTGAATAAGTTGATGTAGGTGCTTGTGGCAGGGGCACAGGCTGGAATTATGTATTTTCATGAAAATGGTAAAAACATTTACTTATGATGATGGTTACATATAAGAAATTAAACAAATTTTAAGGACATGATTAAAGTTGAAGAATCAAACAGGATGTAACTGACGAACTTTCATTATTACTGAGAACTTGATATTGACATTGGTGAGCAAACGATAGGCAATTTATGTACATAATTGAATGCTAAATAAGGTTAGTCATGAAGTAGTTAGCAAAGTTTTTAAAAGTTGACATTGAAGGAAGCACATTCGATATCCTATCAACTAACTTCCAATATGGGACACCAAAATCGAGTTCACTTGATTAAGAACCATTCTATCCAGTCTTACCTATCTCGTGATTTATCATTCAAGCAGTTGACCATTAACAATCATGTTACGGTTTCAAATTCTGCTCAGTTATTTCGTACACAACACTCGATTAGGAAGTTGGGCTGTGTTTATCTGAAGATTTGAGATATTTCACTGAGAAACGGATTTTTAACTCAAAATTCGTTCTACCGCGCCTAAGTACATATGAGTCTAGCACATCTATTACGCAATAGAATTGATACTGAGATACAACCAATGGTTGGGATACTCAGCTCACTTCTTACATCAGAAGACAAGTTTTCCGAAATCTTGACTACACGGTTTCAATCTTTATCATTTGGAAACATCCTTCCTGCTTCTGACTCTTTCATTTCGTTCATTTTTTACTTATTATCATCTATTCCTTGTTTCTATATCCATCCTGGTAAAAACTCATTCTTTAAATATTTTTTCATGTTACTCAACTCACTACTCAAACTTTATCATGTTTTGAGATTTTTGGGAATTTATTAACTGATTTTTGGTTGGTCCTGGGTTCGATCCGTAGAGGATCGCACAGCTGAGTCCCCTACTAAGAGGAAACAGCTGTCCAGCCCTCCTAGGTTTCCAATATTTCTCCAACTGATGTCAGTCCTCTATTAAAGCCAACTTTAATCATCTTTGCTTAACTTCTATGTTATCTTGAGCGATACTGACCAATCTAAGCAACCCTAAATATTTGAGCAATGATGATTTAGACAATTAAAATTCTCATTTCACATTTTAAAAGTCAAATACAACAAACAGTATTTTTTTTCAGTAATTTCTCATGAGGTTCTATAGTTATGAAATTAATCCCGTTAACATATCAATAACTAGAATTTACGGTGAATTCATTAATGAATGGCTACCGAACTATAATTAAAATTTGATTATTTAAAATTCTGGATGGTAGTGTACGTCATTTGTGGTTGACTTTTATTACCCGGCCCACTTCTCCCCCCTAAGTTCTATAGGGTGGAAGGAAGGAATTGGAAATAAAAAATGATTGGTTGATTCCTCTGTTTAAAAGTCAATGTGTTTGTGTGGTCAAGTTACTTTCCTACTGGATTAGGAAACTTACTTGTAGGAATCTGATAAGTTGAGCTTAGATAAGCTATCTGTATTTAGATTGGCTTAGAAAATCCTCATCACTTGTCGCATAAATTCTGTTTCACGAAATTAATCGCCTTTAGGATAACATTAAGTCCAAGATGAATTTTGAATTAGTAGAGAATTTAATTCTGTAGTGACAACGTTTCAAAATGTATTGGGTGTAATTGTTGTTATGATAATTATAATTTCACGTTGTTATACGGAATTGAATTGTGAGAATGCACTCGCGCTGTGATTTTCAACGATAATATTGTTGAGAAACCAATTACTCTGTCTTAGTAGTTCTGACCACCATTAGGTGGTCTTCGAAAACAGGTGCTGAGTAATCATGTTCATATGAGCAAATTTTACTACGGACCTCCGTGTTTGCCGCTAAATGGCTACTATGTACTCTCCACTTCGAAACTTTTTATTAACAACGGATTTGCTGTTCAATTTGAAGTATGACGGCAGGGAAACTATTTTATTTGAGCTGTGATTGAGAGATAACACTTATCAAATTTTCTATGTTTCTAAGAAGTGGTAGTGTATAGGAATTCTTGTTGTTATCAAATAACTGCAGTAAATTGGCTTAAAAATACTATGTGAATATTTAATATTTTGTGCATGATAGAAGAAAAAAACGATTTTCGGCGACGCTTTCAATCGTAGTTAACAGTTTCAGGAAGTATCCTGAGTTCACTTCTTGCATTTTTTCTATCTAGTAAATGCATATATTCTATCAAGAACTTTCTTAGTTGATGAAATAAGACATCCGTAATGGAGTGGATCGGCAGGAAACTAACATGCAGGTCACACTATAGGTGCATTGTTGTTTGCAAGTGAACACGTCTAATTACGAAGCATTTCACTGAAAGGATGTGGATATTAAGAAATGATACAGTTTCATTGACCAACTGGAAGCTTATTACAAGAAGAAGGCATTAACATTACGGATACTTCATTCAGTTGTACTAACGACCATTTCAAAGTTTTACTTGAGGTTAGAACAGTCTGTCGCTGGTAACATTTCACTTTCAGCCTATAGGTAAAGTTCTGATGACTAGCATAAGTAATGTTACCTGAAATGAATGTGATCAGTTTATATCCCTAATTCATTTGAATTAAGCAAGAAGAAGACGTAACTTGTCTGAATAACGAGCTGAGTAATATTACAAATATTAATGAATGAATGACTTGTAAGTCGAATTGCGTGTGGTAAGAGGTGGTGGTTGATAATATATAGGAAATGGATGGAGATGGTGGAATTCAGAAGCGCGAAGCTCCTGCTTTTTTTCTGAACTGTATACAGTACCTAATTGTAGCTACTATTAGCTATAGCTGACCACACATACATTAAAATGAATAAATACAATAGGACGTGACTTTATCCTTCACCCGTTCAAAGAGTTTTGATGGGTACATACGCTTCGGCTTTCCAATTATTCGAACCTCAGCTACATAATAGGTAGTTATCATCCTCCGTTCTACACTTCTTAACGATCTACTATTCTGTAATACATTCATTCGGTTGATAAGTGAAGTAGTTAAACGTGGATAATCACTTCTGGTTTATTTAAAAGAGCGAAGGAAGTCATTCAAATCGCATTATGGATGGCCCTGAGAAGGGCCACTTTCCGTCATGAGGTAGAAATTCACTTCTGGTGCAATTTGTCTTCATCTGAAATCTGAAAGTGAGGTAGGTACAGCTGTGGGAGTCAAAGACGCGAATTACCTGTCTTTTATGGAAAACCCTTTAATTGCCATTGACATTATCTTCCTTTCCTGTCAGAGGTTGCCTCCACATGCAGGGCATTCTAGACAAAAGCTGCTTGAGTGTGAATTTCATGCCCAGGATATATGGAATGTTGCATGACAACGGCATGCTATCCATGTGCTGGGATGTGGAATAAGGGTTGGTGCACCCATCACTTTGGAAGCATACCTCACAAACTCCTCTGCAGAAATAATCCTCCTCTTCGTTTACATCTACATGGTCTATCTCCTCAGAGTTCCGAGTGACCAACTCCATAGCCCCTCTTTGATGGTCGACACTGTTGTCTAGGTCCCTGGATGAGTAGTTGGTGTTATAGGTGGTTGCGAAATTGCTTCAAACCCAGTTGTTGGTCTTCCACCATCTGCCACCTTGATCTTACTCACAGCTTCAGCCGTCACTTCCATTTCTCCTTCGGAACCACTTCAAACACTGTCATGTGAGATGTTCTGGACTTGCGTCTACCGGAATGGATGTACTATCATCTAGTTTTCTTGCACAAACCGTGAGACAGTGTGGAATTATTCTTCATCCATCTTCATTCATCTTCAGCCATCCAAAGTTGGCTTCTTGATGGGAGAAAGGATGCGAGCATGAACGCCAGACAAGAACATTGCAGGGATATTCTACGAAATATATAATCAAAGCATTCAGAACTAACCTTCTTGTCATTACACCACCTATTGACCGGCCTTCACTAGCCTCAGAGCAAAAAAACTTCACGTAGGCTCTTCGGTCACCTTGAAAGTGTGAATCTCGCACAACGTAGTGTGTGTACATGTGCTTCTCATACTTCTTTAGGGCGATCTACAAAGACTCCAAGGACGGCAACACGACGAGACAAAAACGATCCATAAAGATTGATTCGTTTTCGGTTACAACACTTTGGACGGTGTCGTCGCTCATCATGAGAATGAAGCAACCCTTCCTCAGTTTGCTCCGTTTTATGATACTTTTCGATTTCGTGCAACCAATCACATGGGATGTTTCTTCGTTCATTTTGATTGGACAACAAGTGACACAGGGAGTGAAGGGGAGGGAGCAGAATTTTCTACTCCAGGTTAAGAAATTATTACCGTTGACCAAATGTATTTCGCTATTTGTGGTGATGATTTGAGTGTAAATTTTGTGAGAAGGGAAGATTACTAGTGAAGTTCCAGTCTGCATCATGTCCAGTGACCGATTAGTTTAGAAAATGACAGGAATGTACCTAAGGGTAGAAATGGAGTTGATACGTCATCATAAGATGGTTATTATGTTAAACGAATAAGATAATGAGAGTAGTAATAATGTGAAGAAAAAGGTTAACAGGAATTTTAAAGGTTTATGTAGGTAAATTTTAATATAATCCCAGTATGTGTTTAGAAAGTCGAAAAGAATAGTCAAACTTACCTGTATTATGAATCAACTTGACTCGGAGCTCAACTTCTTCCTGGACATTTGTAACAACTATGATCTGGATATTTATAATTTTAAAGGTTTTTTCTAATAAGATAGGGAGAAAGTCTGGTTAAAAATAATAGCATTGACAATAACATTTTCGTTTTTATTTGAAAGGAGCGAAAAGAAGAGAGTGGGGATGAAAGCAGAAACGAAAAATTAAAATCAAGAAAGAAATAAAACTGTTAAGGGAATACCATTTAGTCAATAGATGATCAAGGTAGGGATAGGGCTTGAATGTGAGGTCATGAGTACACACTGCTCAAAGGTCCTATACTAGAAACAAACATTTGTCTAGTGTTCCCTCTGTTTCAATGGTTCTCTAGATAATATAAATCCGTGATGCATGCCATCTTGAAATCACTAACTCCCCACAAAACTCCAAACTCAAAGAAGAGTTGCTGTTCTCATAAGTTTGTTGAGAAGATATAGAGGGACTGCATTTTATAAATCTTATTGAAAGAGGATAAAACAAAATCAAATTACAATGAAATATACTTACAGGTCTAGGTGAATTCGGAGTACAAACACTCGGCCGATTGTTTATACAAGTTGGTCGTGGAGGACGGGAAGGTGGAGATGGTGCCAGTGCACTCTTATCAATTTCACTGTGAAAATCACCTAGTTTCTGGTAGATCTGACAATCTGAAGATGTTGGTTGACTTTTTTCAGTGTTAGAGTCTTTCGTTTCTGGTAAGCTTAAATTCGTTTTTCTGCAAGTGAGGAAGAATGAAATTAAGCAAACGTAAACTTACTACTTATGTTTGATTTCAATAGCTTATTTATTCTAGCCTAAAAGTAAGAGGCGTATTTTTAGGTGCTAGGTATCATCAAAATCCATCGTCTTCTAGTGCACTAAACAACGTGTGTCAGTATAAGGGTATAAGCGCATCCTGGATTCCACGGCTAGCCACGATCCATCCTTAACATACGTGTGTCAGTGCTTAGTTCTATATTTACAATCATGAACGCTAAACTTGAGGTTTCGAAACGCCCCATCATTCAAATTTCATTGGCATGCATGCTATTAGGCTTGTATAACTGCTAGCAATCTCTCATACATTCTCATTTATTGAAACTATATGCATAGATGGCTAACGATATTTCATACTTTTCCAAGTCATACTGACGCTCAGATATGATCATTATTGGCTAAATGATAGCTCGACTCTTGTCGTAACTGGGATTTTAAAGCCACCTTCAGTCATCATATTACCTAGCATCAATATCTTTGTGTAAAAGGATGCACTACTGAACCCCTTAGTTGACTTCATCTGTTGCTTTTATTATTCAGTTCAAAGTGGTATTGGCTATCGAATATCCATTTCACTGAATGATACTCCCAAACTCCTATGATCACCTAGTTTTACTAACCCCCACACCTTCCCCACCACCAAAATACAACATGTTTTCAAGCATAAATTAATATTCTCAGCTCATTTTACAGTTAGTAAAAACACACTGTTGATTCAGCCATATCAAGGAGTTTTGTCTGGCGCATTGATTTGTTACAAAGTAATATCTGTTGGGATTGAAGAAATTTGAACCACAGAAGAGGTTATGGTTTCAGATACATCTTGTTGACGAGTGTCAACAAGCACGAAACTTCGGTCTAAGGCTTCCTATCTATTGCCCGCACATAACTAACATCTATCTAAGTACATCATGATGGTGAGTCTCCTAGCTTGGTGGCCACATTGTAAAATGACCGATAGAACTTGACTGGCACTAGACAACATGAACTTCGTTACCCTCCAGTGACTAATCAATGTACTATAGGTGGTCATTCTTGACCCGAAATGGCTCAGTGGCGATATCATTGACTGCAACACTGGGTGACGCAGACCCGAATCTCAGGTGGGACATCACTTCTGTTGAGGTCGCAGACACGCCTTACTGACGGGTGCCAAAAGCACGAAACGTAGATTAAGCAGTGTTTCCCACCGACTGCCTCCGTCCAACTAAGATCTGGTTTTCTAAAAACATTATTTAAGTTTTTGATTCGATATTTCAACCTGCACTATTCACCAGCCTAAATACCTCGTGATTTGCAACCAACGTTCTTAGGAGATACGATTCTCGAAGATGGAGTGAAATCTGTTTTGAGCAATGCAGCAGCGTTTGCTTCCAGACCAGTTCAAGGTGTTTTCTAATCTTACACTAGAAAGTGAGCAGTCATATGACAGTGTGAGATAGATAAGGGGATCAAAAACAAAGAATCTATTGCAGAAATGAACCAGTCAAATTTGTTGTATTTTTTCACATTGAGTCCAAAGACATTGAAATAAACTGGGTTCGTTAGAATGGACAGACGGATATCTGATTGGTCAGTATTTTTCCATGTAAATAAAGCCTGAAAATTCGTCTTTAATCTTGACCAAAGTCAGTGTCATTTGTATTATTAACCTTGATCAAAGGTTATGTTATCGACATGTTATTGGTCCATTACTACCAATATGTGAGGAGATAATTTTCCTATATTAAGCTTGGAAATTATTGGCCCAGTAAAATAATTACGTGAACAGTTATTATTTCACTTTGGTTGCCTGAGATAACCGTGGTTTGGCAGACTTCTGTTGAAGTTGGGATGAAAATTTGCATCGCGGTGGGATTCGGACCAGCGACCACCCGGTCTCCGTTAGTTTTGGCTCTTCTCCCGATCAATAAATCTTTCCTTCACTGACTTGTCTTCTTTGTCATTCAAGCAGTGTTCAGACAGTATTCCAGTTATCAGTGTTCATTGTGAGCAAAAAACAGCAGTTCTTAATTACGAAAGTGATCAGTTAAGAGAAATCCCATACCCCAGTATTTATTCAGTCACATAAGGGGTGAAGTACAATAAAAAATACAACCTCCTCATATCTTATTTTTACAGTCTCCATGTCTCATCTCCTATGAACAGGACAGAGCAAGCTGTTGATAAATAGTCGAATATCTCATCGACTCCATACTTGAATTATACTGGTAAATAGCGAATGGATATTTTGTATAAAGCGAGAAGAGCAACAGTGTTGCAGAATTAGCAGGTAAGTATTTTGTAGATTCTCCTTAGCTGCTTCATAACCTACAGAAATACGTTTTTCATCAATGTGTGATACAACGTACTTTATTGAATAAATCGACAACTGCTCCCTTGGGGCTAATTACATAGGCCGCAGTGCATCCATGCGCGCTCGTGAACATATGCCGTCTTGCTTAGGGAAAGGAATGACAAAGAGACACAACAGTGCAATCCTGTCACATCTAGTAGATACCGGACATCAGATTAAGATAGATCACGCCTTTTCTATAATACACCGCGTCCCTTGCAATATCCCTAAAGGTGCACGACTTTCCATCTTATCCATAGCCGAAACCATAAAGAACAACGCCAGAAAACCGGATCTATGTGTACATCCAATTTGTGATACCTTAGCCCACAGGAGGGTCGACACCTTAATGAACTTTTCTACCACAAATAGGGTTGCCATTTATTACATCGCCACTTCTCCGCCCTAAGTTCTATAGGGTGGAAGGAAGGAATTGGAAATAAAAAATGATTGGTTGATTCCTCTGTTTAAAAGTCAATGTGTTTGTGTGGTCAAGTTACTTTCCTACTGGATTAGGAAACTTACTTGTAGGAATCTGATAAGTTGAGCTTAGATAAGCTATCTGTATTTAGATTGGCTTAGAAAATCCTCATCACTTGTCGCATAAATTCTGTTTCACGAAATCAATCGCCTTTAGGATAACATTAAGTCCAAGATACTCGGTTTACACGACCAAGGACTACTAAGACTAGAATATAACATTTGTCCAATGAAACCGCGTTATCAAAGATTCTCCAAGTGATATCGATTCACGATCAAAGCTGCTTTAAAATCAATCGATTCTTAAAAATCATCAACTGTACTGTGAATTATTAACTCCACACACTGAAGTGAACGGGTGAATAATACGAAATAGGTTGAAGATATCAACTCAATCGGATACGCGCACTGGACGCAAATAGCAACTGTTCTGCGTCGATTCCCTATACTCCGCAGAGCTAGAAGACTCAGAACACGACGACTGGCTTGTAACTACAAAGAAGACACTTTCTTCAATAACCGGTTTTGAAACATTTTCGCGGGTTCACGTTTCTTAGAAGAAAAATTTCTCCCCTCTAAGTTCTATAGGGTGGAAGGAAGGAATTGGAAATAAAAAATGATTGGTTGATTCCTCTGTTTAAAAGTCAATGTGTTTGTGTGGTCAAGTTACTTTCCTACTGGATTAGGAAACTTACTTGTAGGAATCTGATAAGTTGAGCTTAGATAAGCTATCTGTATTTAGATTGGCTTAGAAAATCCTCATCACTTGTCGCATAAATTCTGTTTCACGAAATCAATCGCCTTTAGGATAACATTAAGTCCAAGATGAATTTTGAATTAGTAGAGAATTTAATTCTGTAGTGACAACGTTATGTAATATTTCAGAGAGCCTATTTCAAAATTTATTGGGTGTAATTGTTGTTATAATAATTATAACTTCACGTTGTTATACAGGGTTGAATTGCTCGATCTCTGTCGGCAAATGAGCTTCTATATGGATGCCTTGATCCTCCTAGTTATTCATGTTTTTACATTGATCTCGTTGACTAGCAGAGGAGTCCAGGACACGCATTTCGTTTTGTTTGAAACTTGGTTTATTGGATAAGGCTCTGTCTGTCTAAGCAATGGGTACTGATTTCGACCCACAGTGGGAGCCACATCACTCACTGAGTTCCTGCTACATTCAGCTGACGAGTCCTAAGTAGGACAAAACGCACGTCCTGGTGGTCGCCGAGATCAATATGTATTGAGTGTAATTTACAACTGTAAATAAGGTTCTCAGAGAAATCTAAACCTTAAAATTGTTGATCGAAAGTTTGCACATAATGATGAGTTCTTATTTTGGTAATATTTAGAACAAAATTACTGTCCGTGTCACACCAACAGTCTGGATATTTTCTTAATAATTTACTGAAATGAAAGCTTATTATTGCTTTTAAACTTTTCATTTGAAGTGTATTTATATATTATTCCATTTGGCAATACACAGCATTTATCAAATTTCCTGTTTCTAAGACGTGGTAGACTGTAGAAATTGTTGTTGTTATCAAGTTGGTTTCTTGCCTTGGTTTCTGCCTTGGTAGTTCTGAACAACATTAAGGTGGTCTTCGAAAACAGGTGGTTGATACTGTCATCTAGGTCCATGGTTAAACCATTCCCTGGGTGAGTAATGGCTGTTATAGTTGATTACGAAATTGTTTCAAATGGAGTTATTGGTCTTCCACTATCTGCCACCATGATCATACTCACAGCAACAGCTGTCAATTCCATTTCTTCTTCGGAACCACCTGAAACACTGTTTGCTAGATGTTCTGGACTTGCCTCTACTGAAATGGGTATCCTACCAGAGGAGGACAGTGCGGAATTGCTGATTATCGTTGAAGAATGGTGAAATTGCCATCCAAAGTTGCGCTCTTGATGGCAGGTGGGATGCAGTTGATTGTGGAATGTAGTTTCGCACACGTACATTGTGCTGCTCATTCTCCCGCGTCAGCCAACGGAAAGATGTGCAAACGACACACGAGTTGATGTGAGTGCGGAAAAACTTGGCATAATGCAGACGAAATTGCAGGACAATCTTCTGTTATGAAAGCACCCACTTCCAATAATAATCTTAAAACACCTCTGAAATGCACCAATCAGTT